ACAAGCTCATCAACTAGGGCAGACGCAACAATGGACTCAAACGAAGGGTCAGTGACAGCAGTGGCCAAGAGACGCGTGACAGTAGGGCTGGCAGCACGAGCTTAGTCAGACTCAGGGTCCGGAACGTGCGGAAGAGAGGACGCAGGAGGAGACGGCAGGGGAACACGTTGTGGAACAGAGGAAAGACGAAGTGCCATAGTGTGCGTGCTAGGGAGAGGAGGAGGACGCTCACGAGGAATACGAAGACCAGTGCGACTAGCGCGAACAGGTGAGGCAGGACGAGACGCAGGCTCCCGACGCTCCGTAAGTGAGTCTGTCTACTCAGTGTAAGGAGAAGGAGCAGGCAGTGGAGAGCCTGGCTGTAACGGAAGGCCAGTAGAAGACGGGAGGCTAAGAACCTGGCGAAGCACGGAGTTAGGCGGTGGCAGAGACGACCAGCACGGAGTTAGGCGGTGGAGCAAAGAACAGTCGCGGCTGTGCAGTACCACCAGCACCAGTACCACCAGCGCCAGCACCTCCAGGAGCAGCAGAACCTCCAGCTCTAGCGCCTCTAGCTCCAGCGCCTCCAGCTCCAGTATCTCCAACTCCAGGGTCTCCAGCTCCTGCGCCTCCAGCGCCAGCGCCTCCAGCTCCAAAGCCCACAGCCCCTGGGCCTCCACCAGCAGCACCCCCAGAACCGGCACCTCCAGCTCCAGGATCTCCAACTCCAGGGTCGACAGCACCAGCTTTAGGGCCTCCACCTCCAGTGCCCCCAGCAGCAGCACCCGCAAAACCGGCACCTCCAGCTCTAGGGTCTCCAACTCCAGGGTCGACAGCACCAGCTCCAGTGCCTCTAGCAGCAGTACCCCCAGAACTGGCACATCCAGCCCCAGGGTCTCCAGCTCCAGCGCCTCCAGCTCCAGTGCATCCAGCTCCTGCAGCGCGACTCCGAAGGCGGGTGCGCGAAGCAAGCCACTCACGCAGCTGCCGCGACGAGAGAGGTGACCGCTGCAACGCGGCACCAGGAGGACCTCCTGCAGACTCAGCACCCCTAGGCTAAGCACCATCAGACTCAGTACCCTCTGGGCCATCACCTCGAGGGCCAGCACCTTCAGCTCCAAGGTCTCGAACTCCAACACGCGGGACTCCAGCTCCAGTGCCTCCAGCACCACGGACCCCGGCAGCTCGAGTACCTCCGGTACGAGCACCTCCAGGACCCTCAGTGCCAGCACCCCCAGCGCCTCTACGACGAGCAACTCCAGCAACTCCAGCCGCAGCACCTCGAGCAGCAGTACCTCCAGCACCAGCAGCACGAATCCTCAGGCGGGTATGCCACGCCAGCCACTCTCGTAGCTGGTGTGGTGAGAGAGGCCCCCGTCGTGAAGAGAGACCCTCGGACTCAGAACTCTCCGGCTCAGCATCCTCAGGCTCCACACTCGGAGGCTCAGCACCCCTAGGCTCCACACCCCCCAGCACCTCACGCACAGGCTCAACACCCCCAGACGCAGTACCCCGAGCAGCACCACCCGCAGCAGCACCTGAATCGCTAGTGACCTCTACAGGCTCAGCCGAGGGGAGTGGGTCTACCTGAGATACACCTGAAGGGGCAGGGCCCTGAGGGGGGAGGGGGTCTACCGGAGGGGGAGCTGGAGCGAGGAAAAGTGGCGGGGGAGGGAGAGGGGCAGTGCGGTAGGGGAAGAGACGGTAGAAAGGAACCGACTCGTCAAAGGTGACGTCCTGAGAGGGGAAGACACGGCGCGAGGTGGGGTGGTAAAACTGCCAGCCATGCGCGTCAGGGACAAAGCCAAGGAAGACACAGGAAATGGTGCGGGAGGAGAGCTTGTCCGCGGACAAGGGCATGAGCACCCCAGACCCGGAACACCGACGCATCGCCAACCTCTCACGTCCAACGCAGTGTGGGCGAGGTCTCCGGAAAGGAGACACGGGGCCAGAGGTTGAGCTGCTGCGCGGCGTACCGGACCGCAAACGGCCACAGAAAATGGGGAGCCGCCGCATGGATAAAGGAGGTACGAGGGACCTCCATAACTAAGCCAATGCGGCGCTCAGCAACCCCATTTTGCTGCGGTGAGCCCGGAAGCGTGAACGACTGGAGGATGCCCTCCCCCCTGACAGAAGGCCCGCAAGAGGTCGGAGGTGAACTCACCACCTCTGTCAGAGTGTAGACGCAGGATAGAGAGGTCCTGGAGGAACTTGCGGCGGAGGTGGAGACGAACTACTCGAATCCAAGGGATCAGCACAGTAGTGACCTCACCCTTGGTGCGCAAGGGCGTGGTGTAACGCGAGTAGTCGTCAATAACCAGCAGAAAGTTCGGCTCGCCGCCCAGTCCACGAACGCGGGCAGGGCCCCACACGTCCATGTGGAGGGTCTACAGGGGAGCCTCTGTGGGGGGAAACGAGGAGGAGTGAGGAGCGGCGCGCTGCCGCCCCTCGACACAAGGAAGGCAGGGCGGCGTAGGCGAGGCAGGGAGGGGAGGGAGAGATCGGGGAAGACCAGACACATGGAGGCGACGGTGCATGCCACGTAGACGTGACAAGGAGGGGTGACCCAGACAGTGGTGCCAGAGAAGAGTCTTGTGCGACAGGGAGCGACACTCAGAAGGGAAGGCTACCTGACCTGACGCAGACACCTGACTAGTAGCAACTACCTGAGGAGGCGCAGGTGTCAGTTTGTTAAGATTCGACCCGGGGCGACGAGTAAACGTGGCCAGGTGGCGGCCGGTCCGGGAGCACGTACAGATCGCCACACGCGGTCCTCCAGGGGTAAAGGTATCAACCCACTGGTCCTGGAGAACTGCGTTGCTCACCAAGCTCGTTGAGAATGAGGGGAGGTGGAGGCCTGTGAGTGAGCCAGACGGAACCGCCGGGCACGGGAGCACAGTGGTGGAACATGCTAGAACTAGGCCCCCTGAGGGGTCAGCCAGAGACACTGCAACAGGTGCAGGAAGTGGCGTGAGTGCGGTACTGTCATGAAAGAAACAACGGGAAGCACCTGAGTCAAGCGTGAAGGTGTGCAAGGCCTCCATAGGCGCAGTACCTGAGAGAGCAGACTCTCTAGCACCTAAGGCAGCAACATCACTAGCACCTAGAGCAGTAACCTTTATACCGGGGTCGTGCTGCACACACAAGTAGCAGTCACCCTCAGCACCACCAGGCAAAACATACATAGCAGTAAGGATGGCGTCATAGTCTAAAGCAAAGACATCAACGCCCGACCTAAGTAGCTCAAGCCAGTGGGGGATCTCAGCCTCGTCGCCAAACTCTGCTTGGCAGGCGTCACTCAAAAAGGAGAAGCAGCGGGACTCTGCATGACCAGCTATCCCACAGGCCTGGCCAGCTCGACGACTTGTGCGTATGACGTACGGGCAGCGACCAGGACTCAGAGACGTCCCACGCTGGTAAAGCTACTCACGAAGCTGCTGGGCGTAAGGGTCGGACGCTGCTGTAGCTGCATCTGGCCACCGCCAAAAACTCTGCACCGAACAGCGCCACAGTGACTGCTACTATGGTCGCCACCACTCCCACTGCTGCCACCACCGCCGGCACCACTCCCACTGCTGCTGCGAAGTGAAGTCATGGCGGGCAAGCTAGGAGGAGCGTGACATCTAGGGCAGTACGGAATGAAGGCAGTAGCACGAGTAGCAGCAGCAGCAGCAGTAAGAGCAGCAGAGCGGCTCGGCGAGGCTAGGCTGTAGCACCTCCAGTACTCCTAGCAGTGCCTCCACCAGCTGCAGGAGCAGCAGGGTGGATCGGGTTGGGCAGGGCGGCTCGGCCTCGGCGGCGCGGGCAGCAGGGCGCGCGTTGTGCAGGGCAGCAGGGCGCGCGCTGTGCAGGGCAGCAGGGCGCGACATGCGGGCTGCAGCAGGGCGCGACGCGCGGGCAGCAGGGTGTGGCATGCGGGCTGCAGGAGGGCGCGACGGTGGGCTGCAGCAGGGCACGACGGCGGGCTGCATCAGGGCGCGACGCGTGGGGCTTTAGGGCGCGACGCGCGGGCTGCAGCAGGGTGCGACGTGCGGAGCAGTAGGGCGCGACGTGCTGGCTGCAGTAGGTCGCGACGCGCGTTGCATACGTAGGGTGCGACGCGCAAGGCAGCAGGGCGTGACGCGCTAGGCTGCAAGGCGCGACTTGCGGGCTGCAGCAGGGCGTGACGCGCAGGGCAGCAGGGCGCGAGCTGCAGCCGGACGCGGGGCAGAACAGGGCGCGCGCGGGGCAAGGCAGGGCAGGGCGTGCGCGGGGCAGCGCGATGGAAGGCAGGGCAGGGCGTGCGCGGGGCAGCGCGATGCAAGGCAGGGCAGGGCGTGCGCGGGGCAGCGCGACGCAAGGCAGGGCAGGGCGTGCGCGGGGCAGCGAGGCAGGGCAGGGCAGGGCGCGCGCTATAGGCGCAGCGCAGGGCAACGCGTGGGGTAACACGGTAACTGTAGTCGGTCACTAGGTAATGGTGGGCCCAAAAAAAACGGTCCTACGGACCTACTGCTCTGATACCATGTCAGAATCCAACGAGCAAGAATGATTGCATTGAATGAGTTGTGGCTACAAGTGCTAATCCTAACATTGGGTTGTACCTTATATGGGCTACCCCACTATAGCCTACATAGAACTAGCACAGATATAGTTTGACACCCCTTCCCTTCCCACAATATCCACATTCATCGTTGCCATGCCACCAGCATCAGCAGCCATCACAGCCCTCGCCCCCCTCACTCCTCCCCACCTCACACATCCTCTTCCTCCTTCCCCTCCCCCTCACCCCCGTCTCCCATTCCACCGCGGGCATATTCCCGGGGGAGGGTGATGGTGAGGGGCAGCCAGGCAGTGGAGCGCGGGTGCAGCCAGCAGCGGTGCGAGATGGCGAGCTGCAGCAGCAGCACCAACAGGCCAAGTGGCTGGGAGCGCAGGGCAGCTGGACCGCGCGCCTTGAGGAGGAGCACTGCGTCGTACCTGGTGGGGAGGGGTGGGGAGCGGTGGGGAGCGGAGGGGAGGACGGATGGCGTGGTGAGTGGAGGTTAGTAATGGCGAAGAGAGGAACTGGCAGGGGAGGAGATGCGGGCCATGGGGGCCAAATGGGACAGGAACGTGAGTGGGCAGATGGTACGACCTGCAAGACCATGAACTGTGTGTGAGCTGCAGGGGGGGAATTGCAGAGCTGCAGGAGTGGTGTGCTGATGTGCATGGGCAGAGAGTACGTAACTGTGCATGACATGCTGGTTTTGGAAAAAGCTAAAACACACGAGGTGTTTCTCTCAAGGATTCTCAAATGCACTCTTAGCAGTGCAGCAGTGCGTGACAGTGTCAAATACTGTGCACGCACACCGTGCCATGCGCTTTCTGGAAATCTAAGCATCACACAATGCAGCACTGACCCGCCCCCTCTCCCCCTCTCCCTCTCTCCCTCTCTCCCTCACTCCTCCCTTCCCACCTGCTCTTGCTCTTCTTCATCTCAGCCTCCCCGTCAGCAGAAGCCAGGAACCGTCCAAAAGCTTCCCACACGTCTGCTCCAAGCACATCCACATCCCTGCTCGCATCATAGAACTCCCAGCACCCGCCTCCCTCGCCTGTACACCCCTCGCCCCCCCCCCCTCCACTCCCCCCCACTAGCTCCTTTGGCAGCAGCACACGCACGCCCCTCCCGGCCCCACCACCCCCGGCATTCTGAAGTCCCTTACCGTGCGCGAACGCACTCACGACCTCCCCACTTTGCAGGGCGCGGGTTAGCAGCGCTTCAGCCTCCTCTTGCACTGCCGCTGCTGCTGCTGCGCCGACTGCACGGGAGGAGCGGAGGCGCTCCTTGATCCGCCCCAGCACGTTGCAGCGGTCTGGGGGCATCTGATCGTCTCGTAACCCAGTGAACACGCGCTGCAGGATTGCTCTGTCGCTCTCGCACACACGACTTGACTGCTGAAGCGGATGCGGCTGCGGCTGCGGCTGGTTGTTGTTATTGCTGCTGCTGTTGCTGGGGTTGGTCTCTGGCAAGTCAGGGTGTGATGTGGACGAGGAGGAGGAGGAGGACAGGTTGCGATTACGTGCACTTCGCCAGTCATCGCTACTACTGCTGCTGCTGTTACTCTTGGTGCTGTTGGTACTGTTGTTGCAGCTGCGATCCGTATCCAAAGCTGAAGTGCCATTGCTCTTGCTGCTGTTGTCACTCTTCATATGGCTGTTGCTATTGCTACTGTTAGTGCTATTGCTAGTGATGTTGTTACTGCTGCTTTTGCCTGCATGTTTTTCTCCCACTCCCTTTGCCACCCATACTCCTCCTTTCCCTCCCCCATTCCTGGAATCTTCCCCCCACCTCCCTCCCATACCCTGCTCCTTCCACCTTCCACCCCAGTCCCTCACCACTTTTTGGTCCCCCCAGTTACCACCCCCCCACCTTCCCTCATCCTTATCTACAGCATCACCCCACCTTCCAGAACTACCTCCACTTCCACTCTCCTTTTTCCCACTCTCCTGTTTCACACTCTCGTTTCTTACATTCATCCCCCCTCCACTGCCCCAACCCCCCGCATTCCCTCCACTCCTCCCATCCGCAGTCCCCTCTCCGTCTCCCCAACCCGTTCCTCCTCCAGGCTTCTGATCCCTCGCGGCCTTGCTGCCACTTTCTAATGCCCATGGGGCAGCTGCAGCACCAGCCGCACCAGCGCTAGTAGCAGGGACGGTGGCAGCGGAAGCAGGGGACGGAGAAGGCGCTGCAGCAGCAGCAGCAGCACCACCAGCCCCAGCAGCAGAAGCAGAAACAGCAGCAGCAGGGGGGCGAGCGGGTCGAGGAGGGTCCCAAGAGGTGGTGGAAACAGGATCAGTGTCCCAAGTAGTGGCGGAGGGAGGGAGAGGAGGCGGAGGCTTGAACGGAGGGGAGGCTGGAGGGGTACCCCACCCTGTCGGTGCCGGAGGGGCCACAACGCCGCTGATAACCCCGTTGGTAACCCCGCTGGTAACCCCGCTGACAGCCAATGGCAATGGAATGGCAACTCCATTGCCAATGCTGCTGCTGGCAGCGCTGCCTGGAGCCGACCCACTGCTAGCTCCTACCACCGCAGCAGCATTGCCTGTGGGCACGCCCATTGATGTTGTCGCCATTGTCGGTGGTGCACCTACTGTGGTAGCCTCGCCACAAGCCCCGCCTCCTGTTGTGCTGGCGCCTATGAGTGTGCCGTTTATGGTTTCTGCTGTTGCCGCACCAGCAGAACTACCAGCGCCAGCACCTGAGCCCCTAGAGTTGGAGGAACCTCCTGTAAGCCGTGAGGCCTGAGAGCTTGTACTGGCAGTGGGGCCGTTTGCGATGGGGTGCTCTAATGCCCCGCCCTGTCTTGAGCTCCGCCAGCTGCTTCCTGCAGGCCCAGTGCTCACTGATGCTTGCGCCGCCTGCTGCTGCTGCTGCTGCTGCTGCTGCTGCTGCTGCTGCTGCTGCTGCTGCTGCTGCTGCCTCTGCTGCTGAAGTTGATATTGCTGCTGATTCTGCTGTTGCTGGTGTTCCTGTTGCTGTTCCTGCTGCTGTTGCTGCTGCTTCTGGTGTTGCTGCTGCTGCTTCTGGTGTTGCTGCTGCTGCTGCTGGTGTTGCTGCTGCTGCTGCTCCCGTTGCTGTTGCTGTTTCTGTAACTCTTGTGGTTGCAGGCACCACCACGGCTGCTGTTCCTGCACTTGATTCCCTATCTCCTCTTGCTCCTCCCCCTCCTCTTCATCCTCCTCTTCTTCCCCTTCTTCCTCCTCTTCCCCTTCTTCCTCCTCTTCCTCCTCTTCCTCCTCTTCCTCATCCTCGTCCTTCTCCTCTAGCCCCTGTTGCTGCGCTATCTGCGCACCCCACATGCTCCCCTTCTGCTGCTCTTCAGACATTGCCTGCCATACAGCATCCTGCTGCTGTTGCTGCTGCTGCTGCTGCCACTGCTGCTCATGCTGTTGCTGCTGTTGCTGCGGCTGCTGCGCCTGCCACTGCCACTGCCCGCCTCCCTCCACTCCCTCCCGACCCCATGCTGCACTCACTTGAACAGTAGCGCGGGGATCTGCCTCGCCTGCTGCAGGGATTCCTGAGAGAACGCTTGGTGCCATTGTTGCTCTCCCCTGCGCCCTGTGCGCCACGTGCGCCCCATGCGCAGGAGGGTGTGCCATATGAGCGGAGGGATGCGCGGAGGGATGAGCAGCGGGGTGAGCGGCGGGGTGAGGGGCATAGTGGGGGACGGAAGCAGGGAGCGGAGCGGCGGAAGGCGCATGCGCCCCACCAGGCTGTGCGGCGGCGAAGGGCGCGTGAGGGTGAAGCAACGAGGGCTCGGAAGAGAAGGCGGGAATTTGATGGTTGCGTGGGGCAGGGGGGAATGGAGAGGGTGCGCGTGAGGGGGAAGGAGACGGCGGGGGGCGGAGCAGCTTGATCCAGTCCCACGTGATGGTCGCGGCGGACATGAGCGATGCGAGCTGCGGGTGAGCGGACGGGAAGGAGGCGGAGGCGGAGGCGGAGGCGGAGGCGGAGGCGGAATGCGGATCGCAAGACGCGGGGGGGTAGGTCGGTGCAGCTAGCAGCGTCGTTAGCGGCGCGGCTAGGAGGACGTCGTACGATCGGAATCGGATGCCGTGCAACGCGGGGGCGGCGCCAGCGTCGGAGGAGACGAGGAACACGGAAGCGGGGGGAGGGTGGTCTACCACCCAGAGAAGCATCGCCGTCAGCACAGCCTTATCCACGCCTAGACTCGTGCCGGCTTGCCTCCTAGACTCGTCGTTACTAGAAGGCTGAATTCTAGACTGGAAGCTTGAAATGTGAAGCGCTGCGTCGTTCGCGGATACTGGAGCGAATGCCGAGGCGGATGCTGACGTGGATCCTGACGGCACGTGGTGGAGAGTCACGCAGGACGTGCTCAGCGCCTCCGCGATTTGCGGATCCAATCGCGTCATGTCTTCGAACGCGTGCACGGATAGCGGCCCGTGGCGGTGCTGCGCCGCCAGCGCCGCGCGCAGCCGCCCCGCCACTTCACCGGGGGGCACGATCGGCGGAATGTTCGGGGGAAGGTTTAGCGGAAAGTTTGGCGGAACGTTTGTCGGAATGGGGCAGCGCGCAAGGTCCCACCACGCGCCCACAGGAGCCGTGGCTGGGTTGCTTCCCACCGCCGCGAAACACGCCGCATTGCACGGCTCGCCGAACGACGGCGGCGCGCATGGCGGGCCACGTGGCCCAGGCTGCCCGTGCGCGGATCGGCGCGCATGCGCGGAGATGGGCGCTGGCGGAGCCGCCTCCCCCGTCCGCGAGGCTAGCATCGCATGCGGCAGCGGCTGCGGCGGAGGTTGCGAGGGGGAGGCGTAAAGGGAGAAAGAAGCCATAGCAGAATTGGGAACTTGAAGGAGCCGCGATCGGGCGACTATGGAGCAAGCCGCGACGACAGGAAACCACCGGCGCTAGAGATGAATGGAACAAGGGTGATGCATGGCATGGTACGGGTTGGTTGTGCTCGAAGCAAAGTGCTTCAGATCAACCGAAGTGAGGTTCAAGCCGCTGCAAGCACAAAAATTGGCGCGCTGATCGTGTTGGATCATGCATGGATGGGAGGAGGGAGGATGCGATACGATGAGATGCATGATCGCCTGCAAAAGGAGAAGGCAACATCAGGGATGAAGTGTACCAGTATGATGGTGCTCAAAGCAGCAGTCATGTTTGCCATTGTATGTACATATAATAGCTGCAAATTTAGATGCATCTTTGGGTGCCAGCTGTATAACCATAAATAATTACTAACGAATGCAGAAGTTAAAACAATTGCTAAATCAGGGCAGTCTACCTGCAACAAAAGAAATGCAATCACTAGACAACTACCGTAAGCAAAAAATATCAATGTGGTTCCTATGTGGTATGCTGGGACAGGCAGCTGGCACCCTCTCATACTCCCTATATTCAAGTTCGACTTTCCAGCAATGGACTCACCGGGTTACCAGCGCCAACCCATACAATAACACACCAGACCATCCTCTTCCTCCCTCTAAGCTGTCACCACCTAAGTGGTGCTTCCATCCCATCTCACAACCACAAACCAAATAACGTAAGTTCCATAAGCCTCCAACCTACCGAATTCCCCTTAGCAGGATTCCCTCCCACTATCCCAACATCCCATTCCCTCCCTTCTCCTCGCCTCACCTCACTCCACTTCCCATCCCACCCTCTCCGCACTCACTTCTCTCCTCCATCGCTCTCCCCATCCTCCCTAGCCATGGCCTCCACACACATATTAAACAGCCGCGCCTGCGAGTTAGCCTCCGCCACCTTCTGTTCCACCTCCGCCACCCTCACAGCGAGCTCCTTCGCCCTCCTCTCTGCCGCCTCAGCACGCCTCTGCCCCTCCTCCCTCTGTGCACGCATCACCTCCAGCTGCCGCACTGCAAACTGAGCGCGCTCCTCTGCTGCCTGCACCCGCTGCTCTGCTGCCTCCAGCGCTACCCGCACGTCCGCAGAAAAGAACGTCTTTTCACCATTCACCTTACTACTGCTGCTGCTGCTGCCGCTGCCACTGCTGCTGCTGCTAATCTCAGACCCCGCCTGAACTGCAGAACCCTCATCCACCAAAGCCTTTTCCGCCACGGCTGCTGCCCCCTCTGCCACTGCCGCTGCACCTGCTCCCGATTCACCAACCTCGCCACCCTCCGCACCCTCCATACCCTGCAGCCGTGTCTTCGTCATAAGCAACTCCCTCTCAAGAGCCGCCGCCCTCCTCTCTGCCACCTCCACTGCCACCCTCGCCTGCTCCTCCCTCCTCCTCGCCCCCGCAGCAGTAACCTGAGCCGCCTTCACCCTCGCCTCTCCAGCCTCCAGTCCCGCTCGCAGCCTCCCCTCTGCTGCCGCTGCCGTCTCCTCTGCAGCACGAATCATCCTCTCCATCTGCACCTGCTCCGCCACCCTCGCCCTCACCTCTGCCTCTGCTGCCGCTGCTCGCGCGCGTGCTGCTGCCACATCCGCTTCACCAGCCTGCACCAGCGCCTGCAGCTGCTGCTCCCTTCTAACCGCCTCCGCCGCTTCCGCCTTCGCTGCTGCCGCTTCCTCCCTGGCCGCCGCCGCTTCCGCCTGCGCCGCCCGCAGAGACCCTGCCAGCTCAGACGTGGCTTCCAGCTGGCGGCGGGCGGCGGCCAGGCTGTCACGAGCAGAGGCCTCGCGCTGAGTCACAATGTCGAGGCGGCGGAGGAGGAAGTCGGCTCTGCTGCGGGCGAGAAGAAGAGCTTCCTCACGCTCCTTCTCCTTGCCCTCCCGGCTCTCATCATCCTGCTCCTCTGACTCTTGCTGCTGCTCCGAGATCGGTGCCTGCTGCTTCTGCTGCTGCTGCTGCTGCTGCTGCTGCTGCTTCTGCTGCTCAGCTGTTCCCAGCGCTCCGCCAGTTGCAGCTGCAACTGCTGCAGTCGCCGCGGCTGCTGCTCCTGCAGCAAGACCAGCTCGGGCCATGTCTGCCATAAGCTTGTCCCTCGCTCCCTGTGCATCGCCAACTTCAACATCTGCACCAGCAGCACCAGCCGCAGCAGCAGCAGAAACAGCAGCACTAGCCTCAGCCTCCGCCTCTTCCGCAACACCCAAAGCACCCTCCGCCTCCCCACTCTGCTCCTCACCTCCCTCCCGATCCTCCCCCATCATTGCAGCTCCAGCGGCTTCAGCATACGCAGCCACTTCAGCCGCTTCAGCCAGAGCTGCACTCGCAGCAGCCTCTGCTGCTTCTGCCAGCAGTGCGGCTGCTGCTGCTTCTTCCACGATTGTCACTCGTGCTGATTCCAGCTGCTGCTGCATGCCTTGCAGCTGCTGCTGCAGCTCCTCCTCCCGCGTCCTGAACCTCTGCTGCAGCTGCTGCCGCTCCTGCTGCGCCTGGTGGGCGCCGGGCATTGCCACAGGTAAGGCAAGGTAAACGGAGCAAGGAGCAAGGGAAAGGGAGCAGCAAGGGGAAGGGAGCACGGAGCAATGAGCAAGGAGAACGGAGCAATGAGCAAAGAACGGACGGAATGGGGACACGATTTTGGGTGGAGAGATGAGGTACTTCAGGCCGTTTTATGAGTGACATCTCATCAAGCCATGCACCAGAGATAGCTTGTGCGTTCGGGACACCTCACACATACTACCCTTGCCCCTCACACTCATTCTCTCGCACTCACGCACACATACAATGCACGCCCTACCCCCCATGCACCCTTGCAAGCCCACCTGAGCCTGCAAGCCCACGGCCTGTCGTAGCTCCTCCTGCATGGCTGCCAGCGCCTCCCTCAAACCAAGCACCTCGCCGTTCTCCACCTCCCCACTCCCCTGCCACTCCTCCTCCTCCACTCCCTCCTCCACCCCCACCTCCATTTCGTCCTCCTCCTCCTTTTCCCCCTCCTCCCTCTCGTTCCATTCCCCTTCTTCTTCCTCGTTCAGGCCCCTCTCTTGTTCAGCAGTGACAAACACTCCCTCCTCCTCCTCGCTCTCCCCTATCGCCACACCTCCCACAACAGGAAGCATTACATCACAATAAAGCCCGTCAGCATCATCAACAACCACATCATCATCAGCATCATCAGCAGCAGCATAATCGACTGCAGCAGCAGCAGCGGCGGCAGCAGCAGCAGCAGCAGCAGCAGCATCAGCGGTCCCTGCCCCAATTTCAGGTACTACAGCTTCCGGATCAGCCAAGTCTCCGGTACCTCCTCCCACCAACCCCACACCCTCCCCCACACCCTCCCCCACACCCTCCCCCACACCCTCCCCCACACCCTCCCCCACACCCTCCCCCACACCCTCTCCCACACCCTCCCCCACACCCTCTCCCACACCCTCCCCCACCCCACCCACTATCTCCAGCAGCCTCTCTCCAACCCTCGCTTCCACATCATCATCACCACCTTCCCCAAACACCCCCTCCCTGTTCTCCCCACCCTCTTCCCATTCCCCTATCTCTTCCTCGTTTGCATCCCACCTTGCATTCTCATTCTCACTCTCCCGCGCCTCCTCCTCCTTACGCCACTCCTGGTACTGCTGCTCGTACTCATCCCCCCATGCTGCCCCAACAAAAACACCACCACCAGTAGCACCCCATTCGCCGTCACTACCGCTCTCAACCCCTGCATCACCCCTCTTCCCCAACCACTCCCCACTTTCAACTCCTCCTCCCAGCTCTCCAACCGCACCCACAGCCGCCGCCGCCGCAGCAGCAGCAGCACCAGCCTCAGCACCAACCGCAGCCGCCATCAAATCACCATCATCCAGCTCCCTCTGTGCTTCCAAACGCTCTCTCTCACCCACAACTCCTCCTCCCACACCGCCCTCAGCCTCCGACTCTTCCGAATCCTCCCACTCGCCCGTCGATCCCAGCCACTCCGCCGTTGCATGCCACTCCTCCTCTTCCCCTCCCTCTCGCTCCTCCTCCACCTCCTCTCCACCCTCCACAACCTGTCCCTCTCCCTCTCCCTCTCCCTCTACCTCACTCCAGTCCCCTTCCAGGCCCACATCCTCCGCAAAAATCCCACCGCCCAACGTCCCATCAGAATCAGCACCAGCAGCAGCAGCAGACCCATCCAGTTCTCCCAACACGTCCCCGCCTGATGTCCCAGGCTCAGCCACAGCAGGCTCACCGATCATAGCAGCTGCCGCCACAGCTGCCGCACCCACCCCTGCTGCCACAGCTGCTGCCGCGCCTGCGCCTGCCCCTGCGCCTGCAGCTTCAACCTCCAAGGCTGCCGCGGCTGAGGTTCCAACTCCCTGCGCTCGGCTCTCTGCCGCTGCTGGCGGGTCCTCAGGGGCGATCACGTCCTGGTGGGGTAACGGGGTGATGGATGATGGAGTGACAAGGGGTGATGGGGTGATGGAATGGGTGTGCAACGTGGGTGCGAGAGGGTTTAGGGTCTTAAACAGCAGGGATGGCTCTCTGCCACTGCTGGCGGGTCCTTAGGGGCAATCACGTCCTGGTGGGGTAACGGGGTGATGGGTGATGGGCTATGATGGATTTGACGCCACATCCCCTGTCCGGGATTTTTTTTTTGCCTGCCCGTCAGAGCGTCAAACTGGGGGGTACCCGTCGGACAGGGGGCGTCAAGAGCGTCAAAACGCTACCGTTTTGACTCAGAGTCGAAACGCTGAGCGCGTCAGATCCATCATAGGTGATGGGGTGATGGAATGGGTTCGCAGAAGGGGTGCTACGTGGGTGCGAGGTGGTTGGTTTTAAACAGCAGTGTGGCTTGGACTTATTGTTTAATTCAAGCGCACTGTCCAGCAGGGAGAGCGGGGAAAACATGTTTCAGCCAGCGAAGCAGCAGGGGGGGGTGGAAGAAAGGAAGGATGGGAGGGCGAGGGAGGAATGGGAACGGGGAGCGCACGCTGTGCTGCTGCTGCTGCTGCTGAAAGTGATCGTTGAGCAGCAGTACCTTGTAGAGGGAGTTGGCAATAACGAGGTCGTTGTGCAGCTGCTGCTGAAAGTGATCCGCCACTAGCGACCGTTGTGCCGCCTGCCACGCACCCATGCACATATGCACCCATGCACGGAAGCAAGGACGCGCACCAACACAGTGAACGACTCGGCACACATGTACACCCGCACACATGCCCCCCCCTCCCACACACACGTGCATGAGCATGGAAACATGCGCTCAGAAGGATGCACCAATGACAGCTCGCGCGTTCATCTACCTCCTCTCCACACGCCGCCAAGCAAGAGAAGCTAACATCCATCTGCCGGACACCCCCATGCCATGCCACTCCCATCACTGCAAACCCACTCTTCCCATCCCCAACTCCTCCCACTCCCCCCAGTCCGCTCCCCTCATCCCCAACCCTGAACCCCAAACCCGAACCCCTAAACAAGCTAAGCAACCGCCAGGCATCCACCATTCAGCACCCATTCCCTTGCACGCCATGCAGTTAGCACCCCATGCGAGAAGCAGCAGCACGCACCAGCCAGTCATCAACGGACTAGCCCGGACGACCCTGCTGCACGCGGCGTGTCTTTTTTAGGCACCTAAAAGTTTGACAGCAGCAGCACGCACCAGCCAGTCGTCGACGGACTCGCCCGGGAGGCCCTGCTGCACGCGGCGGGCCTTGATGTCCTCCGCTCGCATGGTCAGCCCCTTCATGTCCACCGCTGCTAGCTTGCTGCTCGCCTGGTGGTGTGCCATGCCACGCCACGCCACACCCGCATGGCCATGCACAAAGGCACACATGCACACACCCGCGTGCACACACGCACGCACGCATGCACACACAAACACACATAAACAGAGGGAAGGGGAAGCATGAAGGAGTATGGAAAAGCAGCGGTGAGGTGATGACAACAGACGAAGAGGGATAGCGAGTAATCGGGAACCACTTTATGTGCACCGCTTACAGCTTGCTGCGCGCCTGAGCGGAAAGCAAGGTGTGGCAATCAACAAGATAGACGACCGCACTACGGACTCAAGTGTAGAGTGCGTCGCTCTCATTCCATTCCCATCCATCCCTTCACCCCATTCCAGCACCTTTAGTTACGTTTCAAACAAAACAGTGCAGAGTGCGTCGCCTGCTCTTACTCCTTCCTTTCGCCACAAAGTCACATGGGGGCCATGTGTACACTAATCCAGATCGCCAAGCAGATTGGCATGGCATAGGCGCACGTACTTACGGCAAGGCGAATGAAACGTCGTGGCATGGGCCAGCGCACATGATCTCATGGGGAGAAGGAGGGGAAGGGACAGTGAGACTCACGTCGTCCCATGCTTGGAAGGAGGGCACGGCCTCTGGGCAGGCGTGGATGAGCAGCGTCTTGGCATCACGGTACTCCATACCCCGCACGAATGTGAGGAAGCTGTGCGGGGGATGGCGAGGGGGAGGGAGCGGTGGAGTGGTGGAGAGAGGAGCGGGAAGGAGGAAGAGGGGAGGGTCAGTGAGAGATAACGACAGATAGAGGGAGATACAGAAAGAGAGAGAGTGGCAGACGAAAAGACAGAGAGGGATAGACAGAGTGTGGAAGAGGGATAGAGTGTGTGTGAGGGACGCTGGAAGAATAAGAAAGGGGAAGGAAGGAGGAGACGGAGGGATGCAGCAGGCATGGGGCAGCCCTGGTTATACAGAGGATAAAAATATCAAAACGAGGAACAGTGAGCCCCGCTGGAGATTAAATGATCACTGCTGGAGAGAAGGGTTGTGGTAAGGGCGCTAGGGTGGAGGGGTGTTCATTGGGTATATGATTTACAACCAAAATTCCGTCATTTGTTCAGCTGCCCTCTCCTCCACCCACCCACCCATTCACCAGTGTAGTCTTCCATTCGCTATTCTCACACCATCACCACCACCATCACTATCACCATCACCATCACTCACCACCACCACCACCACCACCCATCTTACCCGAGGGCCACCAGAGGGCTGCGGTGGCATCCCGACGTGCAGCACACAAACACAGTGCGCTGGGGCGATGACACCGCTGCTGCTGCTGCTGCTGCTGCTGCTGCTGCTGCTGTTGGCGATGCTCCTGCTGATGCCCCTGGCGCCACCCATCCTCCTTCACTGCTCGCCCATCCAGCCGCCTCGTCCCACACTTGCGAACCTTCTCCTCCTCCCTCCCTCTCAGTCTCAGACCTGTATCCTCCTGCACTCCCCTCGCCACCGCCGCCCTCCTCTCTCTGCGCCTGCTGCTGCGCCTGCGGCTGCGGAGGGTTCTGCCCCGCGTGCAGCAGCGCTGACAGCACGCGGATAGCTTCGGGGAGAAGCGCGCCCTGTGGGGAGGCAGGGCGGGCAGGCGGGGACAGGTACGCGGAGAGGGGCAAGGGAGAGGGGCAGGGGGAGAAGGGCAGGGGGTGAAGGGTAGGGGGAGAAGGGTAGGGGGAGAAGGGCAGAGGGGGAAGGGCAGGGGGAGAGGGGCAGGGGGAGAAGGTCAGGGGAAGAAGGGCAGGGGGAGAAGGGCAGGGGGAGAAGGGCAGGGGGAGCCCCTGGCGCACCTGGTCAGCGGAGCCCCTGGCGCACCTGGTCGGCGGAGCCCCTGGCGCACCTGGTCAGCGGAGCCCCTGGCGCACCTGGTCGGCGGAGCCCCTGGCGCACCTGGTTGGCGGAGCACGTGGCGCACCTGGTCGGCGGAGCCCCTGGCGCACCTGGTCGGCGGAGCCCCTGGCGCACCTGGTTGGCGGAGTCCATGGGGCGCATGGGCACTCTGAGCGCGACGATGCCCGCCCGTTGCGCCATGTCCTTCACCTCGCTCCACGCCAGCCCCAGAGCGTCCCTGCAGTCGTCCGTCTGAAGAAGGGAGGGTACGGGGGAAGGGGGGAGAATGGGAGAAGGGGAAGAGGGAAGAGAGGGAGCAATGGACGGGGGAAGAGAGGGAGCAATGGAAGGGGGAAGAGAGGGAGCAATGGAAGGGGGAAGAGAGGGAGAAAGGGGAGGGGAAGGGGGAGATGGAAGGGGTAGTTAGCAGCACCCTGCATTGGAGACATTGGCGCAGGCACGGGAGCATGGTGTTAGTGTGTGGAGTGAGTGAGTCGGTGAGTGAATGAGTGAGTGAGTGAACGTTCACCCTGCATACAAGAAAACCACCATGCTCCCCTCTCCATCCCTGCTCCCCTCACTCGTGAGCGAACGGTTCTACGTTCACCCACGCTCCCATCACCACCCATGCACCCGTCCCCTCCCTCCCATTCCCGCGCGCGCACCTCAAGGCACAGCATGGCATCAGCGCCAATATTCCGCTTGATCACATCCACGTCAGCAGCAGTGGCAGGGCTCGTACCCACCACCACCCCCTCACACACCGTCGACCATTGCATTCCCAGCACCTCCTCCCTCCTCTCCCCCTCCCCTTCCTCGTCCGTCACCACCCCGCCTTCCGTATCCTCCCCCGCGCTAGATGCACTCCACGAGCCGTACGCGCCATAAGCGGACTCGCCGCCGCTCAGTCCCGCCAAGCTTTGCCACTCCTCCTCCCCCTCCCCCTCGTCCGCCGACTCCCTCCACGTCCCCGCAGATAAGGGGGAGCTGAAATCGGCGGAACGGTAATCCGCAGAACTATAACCCGCGGAACTGTAGTCCGCGGAACTATTACCCGCGGAACTGTAATCCGCGGTACTATTCGCGGAGGCGTCTGCTAAGGAGAACGGGGATGGGAGTGAGCGAGGAGAAACCGATCAACGAGATACAGCAGCAGATCCATGGAACAGGCAAACAAGCAGGTAGAGAAGCAGAGGGATGGTCATATGAGAGAGATGGCCTTGAGAGTTTCTCTTGCCCCTTGTCTTATGGAAGCGCGCGCCAAACACACGGATGGATTTCATTCCAACAAGGAAGTGGGAGTTGTCTGCACCGCATTGCAGCGCATAATGTCGCACCACACCACGCACCGGACACGCGCATGCGTCCATGAATTGAGAGGTTCAACTTGCAACCCCCGCTTTTCTCCCTTTCCTATGTCACCATTCTCAAACCCACCCTTCGTCTCCCTCAGTGCCATCCCTCACTCCCCCTCCCCATCCCCCCCCCCCCCCCCCCCCCCCCTCTTTTAACTCTCCCCTTCAACCCTGCGATGCTTGCCAATCGCCATCAGCGCACCTTGCGACAGCGCCGCTGATGACGCGGAGGACGGCGACGGCGCAGGCGACGGCGCAGGCGTGCGGTGAAAGCGCGATCTGCGGAATGCCAGCTCCGACAACGCGGGGCCTTGGGAGCTGTGGATGCCCTTGCGCAGCAGCGCGATGCGCTCCTGCCAGCTCCCCACGTCCGTCGCGAGCAATATATCCGTTAAGCGCTTCCGATACTCGCCCAGCTCCGCGCTGCTTTCCAAAAGGCTGTCGCTATCCGAATAACCCTCTTCACCGTCACTCCCGGAGCTTGACCCGCCGTTGAACGCGCTGGTGCCGCGATAACCAGATGAAGAACTGCCGATAGTAGAGGAGCTCCTGGAGTAGAAGGAAGTGTAACCGCTGTAGCTGCTGTTTCCGCTGTTATTACCGGCGTTGGAAGCTCCGTAACCGTCTGAAAAGTCGGCGTCATTGACGGAAAATGTCGCTGCATCTTCCGCGGTCGATCCAGTGACATCTGCTGCGGAGAGAGCATCCTCGCCATAAGGTTCCTCGGACGACGACGGCAGCGGCCGCCGCGGCGGCTGGGGTTCAGAGTCATACGGGCCGGCATGAGGAGAAACGGCTCGGAGCCGCAGCAACGAGTTGCGTTTCCTGCATGTCACTCCTCCTCGAGGGCTGCTTACGATGCCATGTAGGCTGCCGAGCCCGTGAAAGGACTTTCCAGACCCGTGGACACGAAGAAAGGCGGACCGGCGAGGGTATTGCACTCGCACGGGGGAGCCGCGAGGCAATGTTGCTGCGGTGGTTGACGTTATCACGCGAGGGCGATGCGGACACTGGTCGTGAGGGTAGCGACCCGCTACAGGGGTCTGAATGAGCGACTTCGCAGAGGAAGTAGCTGACGAGTGAATGGCGGACATGGCTGGCACGCGACACGCTACCGTGGGGCTTCGGATTCAGCAGGAGGAATGTGTCTGGACGATAATCACTCAGCTGCGCTTGGCATCAGCGGGTCAACCACCATTCACTCGACACCGGGCTTGCTCGGGAAAAGTAAATCCACCACCAGAAACACAACAGGAATGTGAGCTATCAAACAGGAAGGAAACACAGCATCTGCGAGAGACTTGAGTGGATATGTGCTGCTGTGTTTGGTTTTTATCAGAGCATGAGTGGGGGATGGGTGGGGTCGGTGGGTTTGGTACAGTATGGTAGGGTTGGGTTGGTTCAATATTTGAATTCAAGCTCTTGGAAACGCGGAGCACAACGGACACCTTGTTCTGCCACCCCTTGTGGCACCCCGCGTCGTTGCCACTTCGAGATCTGAATTTCGTTCCGTGCGTTTCAGTCAGGGAGGGGAGGGGGTCAGCCAGATGCGGGTCAGCTCAGCATCATCAACCAAACCAAGACAAGGCCCGGCCACTCTGTGTCGGTCCCTAGGGAGTCGAAGAATCCTTGTCCCAGAACTTGAGTCCCAGAATTCTTCAGGAATTCCACTAGCCAGCTGGCCCATGACGTGCTTCGATGTCGACACGTCCGGGCTAAAGAGAACGCTGAATACGGCTTATTCCGAGTTGAGAGGTCTGCAGATAGAAAGGATAAGACTGACACAAAGGGAGGGAAAGTTGCCATGTCAGTCACTTTTGCGGCAAAATATCTTGCTGATTTGTAACACGTCCAAGCCAGAGGGACCAGTACACTTTGCTGACTAGTACACCGTTCCTTCCTTATGCTGCTGTTAAATGCATTGAAAGTCAGTCATACATTCACCTATTTGTTCGTCATACATCCTCCACTTGAAGCCTGCCTATGTAGTGTAAAGAGGGAAAGACAACTGGATGCTAGCAACTGGCTGTCAGGCTAATCTATGCTCGAATAACTGAGGTACCACTGATCAACAATACAGAAAAATGCACCAAATCTTCAAAAGACGTATATGAAGCTGTGGAAATGAACGTAGGAGGTTCATCTTCTCACACACAGACCCCGCCCTTGCTTTGTAACAGTGACACTTCAGCTTCCCACTTCCTTCGAATTTTCCACCTCCTTGTCCATTCCACTGTCATCCACTCATTCTCACTCCAACCACTGCTAGTAATACCCTCCCTGCTGCTGCTGCCACGAAGCTTCACCTCTTCCCCCACCACCTCCACCACCATCCGAGCCACTCCCAGGCGAACTCGGCGAAACCCCTCCTCCTCCCGCTCCCCTCCCGGACCCACCCCCACCACCATACACCGCCATGTCATCCAAATCCTGCAGCGCTTCCAGTATCTTCACCGCATCGCTCATAACCGGCCGTGCCTTGGGGTCTCTGTTGAGGCAGCTCTGCGCGAGAGCCATGGCGTGCTGCGCGCCTTTCACCGAGTACATGCCGTCCAGGCGCGAGTCGAGCAGGCGGAACACCTTGCGCCGGTCGGAGAGGAAGGGGCGTGCCCAGTCCACCAGGCTGTGCTCCTCTGGTGGGAAGGATTTGTCCATGGACCGCCGCCCTGTGATCATCTCCAGTAGCACCACCCCGTAGCTGTACACGTCACTCTTAAGAGTCAGATGGCCTGGTGGGTGACGGGGAGAGGACGGCACATGCAGGTTAAGGGGGGTGCCATGGGATGAGGGGTGATGGGAGCGCGGCTGGGTGTGATCAAATACGGATTGACTTGGGGAGTGTTACGACTTTCACATCACCACCCTCGCCAGTCCCACACTACTAGTCTTCCTGCACTACCAACCTTCCCCAGCCAACACCTACCTCCTTCCCTGCCCACATCTAATCACCACCATACCTTCTGCCCTCCTCCCTCTCATCCTCTTGAATTCCCAGTCAGCAAGAATCAAACCATCATAACCACACGCCTCCAACCCTCCTGCCCACCAGTCATGACGTATTCGGGAGCAGCGTAGCCGTAGGTGCCCATGACACGCGTGGACACATGGGTCTTGCCACTCTCCGGCCCATCCTTGGCCAACCCAAAGTCAGATAGCTTGGCAGAGAAATCCTGGAGAGGGACCAGAGGCAAGCAAAAGAGGAAAGAAAGAGGATAAGAAACAAAGAACGAGAGAAAAGAGGGGGGGGGGGGGGGAGAGGGGACGGGAAGGAGGAGACAGAGGGAAGGGGGAGAGAGGAGGGCACGAGAAAGGGGGTGGAGTTGGGCGGGCGGAGTGAGGAAATGGGGGGGAAAGGAGGGGTGAGGACGGCGGATAAGAGAGGATTGAGGTGTAAGCCACCTGGTGGAGCAGCAACAGCAACGCCTTGTGACAAGAGGAGCAATGCATGGGCCGCACACAAAACGAGCGGCAGCACGCAGCAGCAATGTTTTGGCAACCTGCGCACCTCCCAAGATGCTGGGAGAGACACATCACGTGCACATACACACACGTACCTCTGTGAGTAAGATATTGGAGGTTTTGAAGTCGCGGTAGATGATGGGGCGAGTGGCCTCCTCGTGTAGGTACGCCAGGCCCCTCGCTGCTCCCAGTGCTATCTTCATGCGCGTGCTCCATGGCAACACCGTCAGGTGCTCTGCGAGGGGTTCCAGGAAGCGTTAGAGTGGAGGGTTGGAGCAGAAAGGGTGAGAGGCGGGTGGGGAGGGGTTGAGGGATGGGGTCGGAAACAATAGATGCTGATGAAGGGGGTGAGAATCTGAGTGGGGGGGGATTATTGCAGAGGAGGGGCGTTGAGATCAGGAGAGAAAGTGATGATGCTGGGATGTCGGAAGCTGAAAGAAAGGGGATGGAAACGGGTGACCCGAGCAACAGCAAACGTCTGGCATTCTGCCAAGCAATCAAGAAAACGTGTCAGCACACGGTCGCAGTGTGCATGGCATAACACGATACGACAAGAGGAGACATGACATGACACGACAAGACATGAGACGCACAGGCATGGCATGGCACGGAAAGGCACAACAGAACACAGGCACGGCACAAACGACGGGGCGTTGTGTGGTGTGGCGTGGTGCAGCAAGGCGAGGCGTACGTCGGAAGAGGTGGACCTCGAGGCTGCCGTTGCACATGAACTCGTACACCAGCAGCCGCTGCTCCGCCTCCGCACAGTACCCTATCAGCCGCACCAGGTGCGGATGGTACACCTGCCCCAGAAAGTTCACCTCCGCCTGACGACCAGAAGAACGGGGTGAGGGAGGGATGAGAGAGGGATGGGAGAGTTATGAGGGCGGGACGACAAGATAGAGCAGCTATGTTGCAGTGCGATAAGGACGCGAGTCAGATCAGGGAGAAACTGACAGGGCAGGGACTCGATCAGGGAATCAGTGAAGGGCTAAATCAAATGATCAATGAAGGGCTCAAACAAGGGCTTAAAAAACGGCTTGATTCAAGGACTCAATCAACGACAAGGGTTCGAATCTCTCAGAAGCTCTCACGCACCAGCCATTCCTTGTGTCCCTGAAGGCCCTCGTGGTTCAGAACCTTCACCGCAACTTCCTCTGGCCGCGCGCCGGGTCTCATGCACACCCACCCCTTGTACACTATACCGAATCCGCCCTCCCCCAGTCTATTATCGGAGCGAAACCCTTCCGTGGCTGCCCGCAGGTCGTTGTACGAGAATACGGCTAGCGCGGAATCGCCCGGCACGCCTAACGGGAGCACAGCCGTGGGGTAGCTGCTGGGTACTGGCGCCACGTCAGGCCGAGCTGGCGCCTTGCTGGAGCCATACGGCCCGGCGTCCTTCTGCGGCCACGCTGGCACGGCTGTTTGAGATGCGTCTAAGCGCGGGAGTGGAGAACGGGAGGAAGAGGCGGGGTTGGGGGATGGGAGGGGAAAGGGGTGGGGATGTGGGGCGAATACAAGAAGCATATGGAGAGAGAAAGAGAGGGAGCGTTTTTGAAAAAATATAAAAAACGCCCGCAAAAACAAGAAACACAACGCAGTTGCAGAGAAAGAGCGGAGGAGGGGTGAATGGGGGCAAACGGCGCGGGAACGTGACACGCAACGCGTGAAAGGAAAAACGGAACGAGTCTCGAGCTTCCGGGGGATAAATAAGCGCGCAGCACAAACGCGACGAAGGCGGTGCTGCTGCTAACGCGCGCTTTAGTCCAAACAGCTCCAAGTCTAATCACGCGTTAAACTAGAGGCCTGATGACAGTGCGACGGGGGGAGGAGAGAAGAGGGAAATCCACCCACCAACAGTTTGAGCGGTTCTCTTGCTCCGCCTCCGCGAGTTGCAGCAGAAGATACCTCCATCCCACGTGTCACAGCTGCAGCAATTCCCCATGCACCTTCCTGCCTCCCACAGAACGCAAACCAACCAGCTTCCACTCCAAGCAAAGCCTTTACCCACTGTTCCCTCCCCTGCCCACTACTCCTGTCCCTCGCCTCCTCTTCCCTCCCTCTTCGCCCCTTATCTCCGCGCCCTTCCTCGTGGCTTCTTCCCTCCTCCCCTTCTAGCCTCTTCTTCGCTTCTCCCTTCCCTCCCTACACGAATTCTTGGAGCTAATACGCTCGGTCTGATGCGTTTCCGTTCAAGAATGGTAGGGTTCAGCAGTCAGCACGGCCGGCAAGACGCAGCTGGATGCAGTTACGAAACTTGATAACTTGGTATCCCTTTGCCTCAGGCCCTTTTGTAGTTCGTCAATCAAACCCTGGAATCGCAGCAACTCTGCCAAGGAGCGGAGGGCTCTGATTGGGTGGCGGCCGCTTATAAAGAAGCGTATATAAGTTCTTCAACTGTGTTCACTTAACAACGAGGTTTCAGTTTCCGTTTGGAATGGTTTATTCGCGGTGGAATGACCGATGCGTGAGAGCAGGCGCGGTGAGGTTACGCTGTGCGTAAGGTCCACCTGCTGGCCAGAAATAATCTGACTGCGAACTAGGTTTGCACATCCTGACAAGTCGGACCGGAAAAATATTTAGGGGATCGATACTGTGCAACTCGTGTATGCTCGTTGGTAGACCGAAGAACAGCACCTAACACGGCCTATTCAAGTGGGAGTAACGGCGGTACAGCACGAAATACGAACCAACACTACGCGTGAAAGAGAGAGATGGAGAGTGAAGGTAAAAGACGCTGACGGCTTCTTTTTCTCAGCCGAGCAGAACAATATTCTCGTGTGTTGAAATTGCAAAGCTGCTGTGCTTGTACATTCCACCTCGTGAATGGAATTCTTCAGTCTTCAGTACAATTGATGCCTGTTTGAGCCCTCCCGGTTGCCTTGTGAAGGGGGCATATAATCTGTAACGGGCGTTTCGCATAATTTTCGTCAATTCGCAGCTAGCTAAAAAGGATTCGCAGGTGCTTATAAACAAGATCTGCTACCATATTTGACTTCAGTCTCTTCTGCTTGACCTCGGTCTGTTCGTTACTATTGGTTGATAACCACGCGACGCGCTTATAACGTGGGAGCAACAGGCTGAGGAAACAACCTCGGGTGCAGCGTTTCCATCCGGGCAAGGCAAATCCGCGTGCAATGGTTGGGCATCAATTGTACTGGATTGTGAAATGGGATCACCTCGTCGTGCGTCCTCCCTGTCCCACACCACCATCCCAGGGAATCCCAAGGACTGCTGCCAAGCCAACTACAGCAGGTCAGGGAGGATTCACGACGACGCCACACCAGGGCTGACGATTCAAGGGCAAATGCCCTTAATGCCCTGAAAATTAAGGGTTAGGTTCGGCCCAGATTCCGAATTTTAAGGGTTTGATTTGAGGGCAGCCCGTCCCCGTTAAGTGCTGGTTGTGGACCTAACCCGGATTTCAAGTGCAGATCCCGCGGCTAGCCCTTATCGTCCCATAGTAATACCTCCCTCCCTTCCATTCCCTCACCAGTCCACTCGCCTCCTCCCAGCCATTCCCCTACTTTTCCCATCCCTGTCAAATCCATCGACTTGTTTCGTACCTCAGCCTATTGCTTAGCTGGCTCTTAGTAGTTTGCCTAAGAAAACGGACCCGAAGAGATGTGGGGTTTCCTTAGCGAAAGTGCAAAAAAGTTGGTAGCCCTGATTTCAAGTGCCAGGTTTGCTCTCAGCCCGTAAATTTCAGGGCAACTTTTGGGGCACCTCAGCCTCTCAAGTTCTGGCTCCAAACCAATCGACAGCCCTGCGCCACACCATGCACCCTCCCTAACCACCCTCATAAATAGAGAATCCGTACCTACGTTCTCAGTTCGGATACAGCTAAGGCCCGGAAGCGGTCGCGTGATGCCGAGCCACTTTGCCACGGCGGTGTGATGAAAAAGAGGCACCAGCCGAGGAACGAACCGGCCAGTCTGGTTAGCATGCGGCGAGGCTCGTCGGCCCATCAAGCCGTTTGCGGACAACTGGGCCGCTTCGCCTGGCGGGGAACTGTTTCAGAGAGATTGGCGCGAAACGTTGGTCGTGTTCGCACTCTGGACAGCTTGGACAACATGAAGGTTTCAACGATAAACCATGAACTAGTACTGAATCAAAACTTAAAACTTTCTACTGGCATAGAGTCCAACTATAGCAGGACTCCAGCAAGAAAGCACCTCCAATACTTTGAAATATCCCTACAGACACCCAGTATTACATCTTCCGTTCACGTATTGTACTTTAAAAAAGATCAGGCTTCAACTCCTCTACACATGGTCAACAGGAGCTGCTAGGGGATCACAGGAGGCACTATAGACAGCAGAGCAGAAGGCTTGCACTGGGGGAAGAGAGAGCATGCGCTGAACAAAGGGATTTTCTGATGCCAATTCCAGCATTGATGCACTCACTGACGCCACTGGAGGCAAGAGCTTAGCCAGAGGAAGGGTTGCTGAAAGTGAAACAGCTGGAGCTGATGCTACAGCTGGTGCACCTGCGTTGGTGTTGCTGCTGGTGCTGTGATCAGGGATTGTCGAAGTTGATGTGAGGGGAGAAGTCGAGGAGGATGCAAGTGTGGAGTTTGAAGGGGTGGAGGACGGTGACGGGGATGTCTGTGGAGGCGCAGAGGGAAACGCAGCAGCAAGATGCTCGTGTGCTGCTTCTGTTAGCGCATCCAGCGATGCAGAAAGGGCCTCCTGAAACTCATAGCTGCACGCCACGGGGTCGTAAACAAAGAGGGCAAAGAGAAACAAATCAAACGAAACATCAGCTAACAGGGATCACAGGCGACGCCTGCACAGACAACCAAGAGAAAATGCAACATTCAACTCATACTACTAGACCTGCTAATCTGGCAATCCCTGCAAACCCACCTGCTGAGCACATGCCGCAATTCGTCCATCAGTTCCCCAAGCAGAGCCTGCTCCTCCTCATCCTCCATCCCGCCACCACCGCCCATCCTCGCTCCCCCCGCACCATCCCCCATCCCCCCCAATCCCTGCCCCGGTGCGCCTCTCCCTGCAGATGCATCCGCAGCAAGGGACGTGGCTGCCAGGTCAGCCGGGAGGTAATTGTCCGGTGGGAGGAGGTAGCGCTGCCATGTAGTGCAATCTCGGGCCTCGAATTCTAGGCGGATGTCGTGGATGAGAGAGAGGAGCTGCGGGAGAGAGATGTTGTCACGGAGGGAAAGCCTGTCATAGGACGAAGGGGGGGTGCAAACAGAGAGTGAGAAAGGAAAACAGGAGGGAAAGAAACGGAAGATAAATCAGAACTGAGTAAGAGGAAGGGAGGTGAAGGACAGGAAAGCGAGGAGGGAAAGCAATGCAGCAGAGTAATGAAAGAGCAGAATAGGTCTTCTGAGCATCGTCGTGGCTTCTGCTTTTTCTTCTACTGTTCCTTCTTCTTTCTTTCCAATACCTTTCCAGGATGGGAGCAATGAAGGCCTGGGCGTCTCTGGTGAGGGCACGCAGGCCTATCTGGGGGAGGTAGTCTGCAAGGGCAATGAACTGGTGCTGGCACCGCATGGGCAGCTGCCGCTTCCTCCACGCCTGCTGCTGCGGATCCTGCTTGCCATGGGTGTTGAGAGAAGAATGATGAGTGAGAGAAAGGGGGTGTGTTGCTGGAGGTGAGAACCGGTGAAGGTAAAGGCTGTATAGAGGAGAGAAAGGGTTGATACGTAAGGAAGAAATGAATTAAAAAATGAGGAATGGTGAGGGATTTGGGCAGGAGGAGAGGGAGGGAAGGGGGGGAGAAAGAATAGCTAGAATGGCAAGATGCAATGATGTGGGGCTAGGGTAAGCAGAAGCAGGGTTGTTGCGGCCACACCTGCAGTGACGAGGAACTGGCGGATCGCACAGCGGCGTCGAGGAAGACACGCCGGCCGAGCACATTGAGCTGTGCACGCACAAAGAGCGAGAGCAGCGCCAGCGACCACATGCCACACAACGTGCGGCAGAAACCTGTGCAGGCGGACGCGCATGGGGAAAGGATCATGCAAAAGGGTGAAGAATAGGGTAAGTTAAGGAGACAATCAAGGAAACAACGATGGGTGCAGCTGATGAGGTGCGAATGGGAAGGGGGGGGAGGGGGGAAGGAGGAGGGAAAAGGAGAGGAGAACGGGATGCAGGAAGGATAGGGATGGGTGGAGAGGTAAAATACGTGGTGTGGTGGCAAGAGTGAAGAGAGCAAGGGGAGTAATGAGGAAAGGTGGAGATTGTCGAAGCAGCGAGCAAGCAAGCAAGCACCCACTTACTCAGCACTTTCAGATCCTCCCATATCCGAAGCTTCTCCTGAGCACTCAAGGGCGCACGAGGGGCTGCTGCTACCCCTTCTCCTCCACCTCCACCTCCGCCACCAGCAGTAGCAGAAGCGGCGTGCTGCCTCGAGGAGAAGAGAGCATCAGTGAGTGCGGTGAGGTTGATGGAGGAGAAGAGCTGCGTGCGCAGGTGTGGTAGCACTGATGGCAGTGTGGTGGCGTCTGCTATCCGCTGAATGCTCTCAAAATGCGCTCGGATCCTGGTGCCAGGGCGGGGAGGGGATGTTGGAGGAGGGAGAACGAAGGGAAGAAGAATGGAGGAACGGGAGGAAAGATGGTGACATTGCAATACCACCGCCTCCCTCTATACGCACATAATTACCACCCACCTCCCTCCTCCATTCAACCTTTTGCCTGTACCAGCACGTCCCTCCCCAGTCACTCCCATCCCCTGCATCACAACAATCAAACTAGATCGAATCGAATCAAAGCAGATGCACTTACTGCGCGTCCTCGCGTTCCTCTTCCGCCCGGCGCTTCTCCTCCGCCTCCCGAATCGCCTCCTCCAGGATCTGCTGCTGCTGCCGTTGGATGCGCTGCTGGTCCTCCAGCAGCCGCGCGTGCAGCCGTTGATACACCACGTACGACCCCACGCCCACGCCCACCACGCCCAGCGTTATCAGAATCGCGCGCCGACGCCGCTTCCAGAAGGACCTGCCGGGAGGACGGAGGGAGGGGAATGGGGAGGGACGGACGGTGGTTGGGGGGAACGGAGCGGAAGATGAGGGGCAGGCGTGCGTTTAGCCGAAATAGGGAAAATGGTGGGTATGGAAGAGAGGGGAGGAATGGGGAGGGGGAGGGTGGGTAGGGGTGGGGAGGCGTGGAAAGGGGTGGGAAGGGCAGGGTTTTGGTGCAGAGAGGGAGTCCAATGGCGAGGACGACGGGATAAAGATATGTATAAGAAAGTAGGTGGGAGAAGAGCACGGATCGGTTTGGGAGTGAACGACGGACCAGATACTTGATAGGTACGACTCGGCGACGGCTGCAGCGGGTTTCGCGAGCTGCTGAGACTGCGACATTGACATTTCGGCGGCGGCGGCGCTGGTTGCTTTACAATGATCGGATCCCTCAGATCGATTCGATTTAAGAGGCGCTTCCCGAGCTGACGGATGCGGATGCTAGCGGTGATTATGCCGCCTCCTCCGCGCTCCCTCGCTGGCAGAAAGCTCGGACTTTTCTTCACACAGCAGCGAACGAGTTTGAAGACGGCCCAAAGGCCGCGGAAGCTTGACACACAACCGAATGACAGAAACTGGATTCAGTGACAGTGAGCTGTTCGTTCGTTAGTGATTCCAGCATGGATTGATGCCAACTGATTGTCGCTCATCGAATCTAGACCTTGGAGCCAACCTTATCTACCCTAACCTGTCTGCAGCACGCGATGGATCTACTGGGATTGTCGCGAGCTTGCTTACGTTACGACGAAAATGGACGGAGGAGCTGATTACGTACGCTGGACCTTATTGCCTAGTAGGCTGACGACGAACCGCGCCATCATCACAGCCAGTCAGGGTCAACTGTGGTGTGGTCCCCCCCCCCTTCCAGACGCCAAAATCTGGGAGCTTTTTTGTCTTCTGGTTGCACTACACTACACCACTTCCCTGCTGAAGAATATATAGAAGCCACACAAATGTGAGTGTAACGAGCGTTCGGCTACTAGGTCGAATTCATGCAGGGATCAGGGGGATGGGGTGTAGGGTTACGGTGGGGTTGGGGAGCTGGGGCGAGAGGATTTTGGGTGAGGGTGAGAAGCTAGGCGCGGGGACGGGTGCCGGAGAGGGTGAGGCGGGGGGCGGAAGGGTTTCTCCGCCAGTACGGGTGGTCGGGCTAGGCTCGGCTCGCTTGCTCTTGCTCGCTGGTGATGTTCGCATCAATGAATGAATCCTAAACGAGGATGAGAACATGGTGGCGGTGTGACCAGAAAAGTAGTTACGGTAACAGAAACACATAACATCAGTCCTCAGGATTGCAGTCACACCAGCAGATCATTCATATCAACCCCTTACAATATGAAACCTCCTGGACTAACAGGCGCCTTTCAATGAAACAAAGGGTCTATCATATATACCTTTTTATCGTAGCCAACACAACCAACTTCGTCAGTCGGTTGGATCGTTTGGGCATCAATGAAACAAACCCACGCCAGCCCATAGCAATCATACAGTACACTAGAACAAGAGAAAACCAGCGGTTAATTCGTTAACGCGACATGATTGTGCTGCCGTACTCAAAATTATAACCCAAGCTTTGCTCTCAGCATCTATTGGAGACATCCATCTACCAAAGCAGACCCTAAAAGCTCATGTCCTGCCTGTCTGCTGGCGCCACACAGGCCCAAAGTGACGCAAATGGTGCAACAGTTGTCGGCTCCAGCCCAAACGTGCGGATGATGCGGCCGTACTCCTGGAACGGACGAGGAGGTATGGGAGAACCGAGACAAGGAAGACTGACGTTAGATAAAGTCCCACACTGAGAAGTTCCATGCACTGACCAAACCTGGGTGTACAGCAACACAGAACATGCACACGTGCACCCACCCACACCCTCTGCCTGCCTGCGAGCCACATGCACGCACCTGCACGTCCAGGAAGAGCTGTCCAATGATCTTATCCGTGTCTGACATGCCTGATGCCCCCCCTGCATCCGCTGCTCCCGGGGGCCGCTTCATGGAGCGCTGCTGCAGCAGCTTCAGTGATGACTCCGTGCGTCGCGCCTGGTGGTGACATGCACACAAAGGGGGAAGAGACAACGGCAGGTGGGATATAAGAAGAATCCCGGCATCCGTGCCATTCCCGGGGGGGGGGGGGGGGTCAAGGGGCGGATGATCCTAACCATGATGCCCACCAGTGATGCATGCATGCGGGCGTGTGTGCGCGCAAGCGTGCGGGCGCGTGTGTGTGCGTGCATGCGTGCGGGCGTGTGTGTGTGCGTGTGTGCGTGCATACCGTGGCAACGACCTCCTTGGCGAGCTCGTCGAACTTCTGAGTGACCCGCTCCACCACCTGACCCACCACCACCGCCCTCATCTCCTCACTCCACACCTCCTCCGCCCCTCCTGCCCCCCCTGCTGCTGCACGTGCTTTGTCACCTTCCAGCACAACCTGGTAAAAGAATGCCAAGATTCAGTTCAGACAGGGCGAGCAAGGGGAGAGAGAGAGGGTTTGAGGAAAGCGAGGAGTATAAGAGGGATGAGGAGCGGGTCGAGAACTGGTGAAAGTGAGTTGGAGGTGACGAGATGACTGCTGGTCGGAGAGTGGTGAACAGGGCTATCCATCCAGAACAGCGCAGGGGCAGGGAAGGGCAGGGGAAGGGGCAGGGGCAGGGACAGGGGCAGGGGAAGGGGAAGACGCGCGGGCAGACGCGCGGGCAGACTCAAGAACAGACCCAGGGGCAGACGCCGGGGCAGGGGCAGAGTAGAGGCACAAATGAAAGAGAGATAGCAGGTGATTTGCAAGGAGAAGAACAAAGCTAGAACGTAACCAAGCACACGAGCATTCAAGGCACCAGGCACTGCAGCAGGAAGAATTACGTGGAGGAGGCAGTACCTTGAGTGGTTGAAGCACGCCCGGTACATAGTGTGAGTGGCGGGTGGGGGGCGGGCGACTGGGCACACGGTACATGGCTGCTATTGCACGCACAGGCCTCAAGACCTGTAAAAGAAGGAAACACGGGAGGGAGGAAGGCGAGACGGGGTGAGACGACGAGGGAGGAAGGAAGCACATGGTCAAACGTCATAGAAGAAGCGAAGGCATGGGGGCAGTGGGAGCAAGGCACGTGTAAAGAGGTTGCTTTTGAGACGTCTCAAAAATAACCTCTTTACACGAACGGCGAGACAGGGTGAGACGACGAGCAAGGGAGGAAGCATGAGCTCGAACACCATGGAAGAAGCGAAGGCAAGGGGGCAGTGGGAGCAAGCAAGAGTGAGCAGGAGAGACCCACAGGCAACAGGAGAGTGCGCGGGGAACCGTGAGAGTGGGAGTGAGTGGGTGAGCATGTGGCAGCGGCAGCACCACCCTCGATGCATCATTCGGCAGTGAGGTGAGTTTTGTGAGATCTCGGATATCCAAGAGCAGCGAGTTTTGAAATGTCTCACCTCGATGCATCGGTCTGCAGTGATATCCGAGAGCAGTGCAGCCACATGCGCTGTGAGGGAATGCAGCCCATCCGCTGCACTCTCCACCTCGCCCTGCACTGCTGCCCGCACCTCCCCTGTCACCCCCGGCCCCAGCTGCTGCACCAGCTCGCCCACGTACGCTGCTCTGATGTTGGACGAGAGCACTAGCAGGTCGTGCCACATCTGCGGAAGCGGAGAGGATAGAGCAAGGGGGATGAACGGGAGAGTCGGAATGTCAGAGCGAGGTCATCTGGAAGGCTGGCTGGCCGCTACCTGGCTGTTGCAAATCATTGATCACACTTTTATGGAGTGTCAGAAATGAGCAAGGGAGGGTCGTCGTATCGTACCAGAGCGAGGTCCTCTGGTGTGGCTGCTAGCCCCCACTCGCCTCCGGGATTGTCTGCTGCTGATCCTGCTCTCCTTGCTGCCACGCCCGCCATCACCCACTTGCCGAACCTGATCAAGGAAACGGGAGGACGGGAATGGGGAAGGGGAGGATGGGAGGACAGGCGTGAAGCGCACGAACTTGGTATGAAGAAGTATCAAAGGTAGAATCTCAAGTACAACAGAAGTCAACAGCAGCCAATCAAATGCAGCCAACTCAGCCAGACACCCAGCCACCCAGACACCCAGACACCCAGGCACCTAGGCACCTAGGCACCTAGGCGCTGACTGAGAGAGCAGCTGCAGAATGAGGCGCAGGAACTTGTCTTCCAATCAGCAGTCCCAGCCACCCAGCTAGCCAGCCAGCCACCCACCAAGACAACCAGGCACACTCACCGGGAGAGCAGCTGCAGAGTGAGGCGCAGGAACTTGTCGGCGATGCAGGGGATGAAGACGGCGGGGTGCCAGCAGCGCTGCAGCGCCTCCCACAGCACCACTGATGCCTGCAGCCCCACTCCCATGCCCGGTGCTGCTGCCCTCTGCACCGCCACGCGCGCCGCTGCTGCCGCTGAGCTGGCGGGCGGCGGCACCAGCGCGTCGTCCAGCAGCCCGGCAATTTCCCGAAAGCTGAAGGGAGAGAGAGGTGTTGCGGAGCGAGGGAGAGCGGGCGGGCGGGAGGAAGGGAGGGAGGGAGGGCGGGAGGGAGGGAGGGAGGGAGGGAGGGAGGGAGGGAGGGAGGGAGGGAGGGAGGGAGGGAGGGAGGGAGGGAGGGAGGGAGGGAGGGCGGGAGGGAGGGAGGGAGGGAGGGAGGGAGGGAGGGAGGGAGGGAGGGAGGGAGGGAGGGAGGGAGGGAGGGAGGGAGGGAGGGAGGGAGGGAGGGCGGGCGGGAGGGAGGGAGGGAGGGGTTGGGGAAATGGAGGTGGATGATTGGAGAGAGGGGAGGTTGGGGAGAGGGGCTCATGAGTGGAGGGATGGGTAACCGAGAGGGGAGGGCAAAGATACAAGAGGCAGTGTGAAGAGGAAGACAATGATCCTTGTGGAACGCTCAAAAAACGCCTGCAACAGGAAGGGAAGGACCTGGGAGCATGAGACCTGGGAGCATGAGACCTGGGAGCATGAGACCTGGGAGCATGAGACCTGGGAGCATGAGACCTGGGAGCATGAGACCTGGGAGCATGAGACCTGGGAGCATGAGACCTGGGAGCATGAGACCTGGGAGCATGAGACCTGGGAGCATGAGACCTGGGAGCATGAGACCTGGGAGCATGAGACCTGGGAGCATGAGACCTGGGAGCATGAGACCTGGGAGCATGAGACCTGGGAGCATGAGACCTGGGAGCATGAGACCTGGGAGCATGAGACCTGGGAGCATGAGACCTGGGAGCATGAGACCTGGGAGCATGAGACCTGGGAGCATGAGACCTGGGAGCATGAGACCTGGGAGCATGAGACCTGGGAGCATGAGACCTGGGAGCATGAGACCTGGGAGCATGAGACCTGGGAGCATGAGACCTGGGAGCATGAGACCTGGGGATGAGACCTGGGAGCATGATACCTGGGAGCATGAACCTGGGAGCATGAGACCCTCTGGGAGCATGAGACCTTGGAGCATGAGACCTGGGAGCATGAGACCTGGGAGTCATGAGACCTGGGAGCATGAGACCTGGGAGCATGAGACCTGGAGCATGAGACCTGGGAGCAATGAGACCTGGGAGCATGAGACCTGGGAGCATGAGACCTGGGAGCATGAGACCTGGGAGCATGAGACCTGGGAGCATGAGACACTGGGAGCATGAGACCTGGGAGCATGAGACCTGGAGCATGAGACCTGGAGCATGAGACCTGGGAGCATGAGACCTGGAGCATGAGACCTGGGGAGCATGAGACCTGGGAGCATGAGACCTGGGAGCATGAGACCTGGGAGCATGAGACCTGGGAGCATGAGACCGTGGGAGCATGAGACCATGGGAGCATGAGACCTGGGAGCATGAGACCTGGGAGCATGAGACCTGGGAGCATGAGACCTGGGAGCATGAGACCTGGGAGCATGACACCTGGGAGCATGACACCTGGGAGCATGAGACCTGGGAGCATGACACCTGGGAGCATGAGACCTGGAAAAGCGTGAGGTCTGGAAGGCGGAAAGGCAGAAAGCAGTGGGCGTACCGAGATGCATAGTAGACAGCGAGGTTCCAGCCCTTGAGGAAATCCGAGTAGCAGGGATGCGCGCGGAAGGAGGCGAGGGATTCACGGCTCGTGCAGAAGCCTGGACTCAGGGGAGAGCAGAACAGAACAGAACGGGACAGAGACGTGAAATGTGAGGATAGAAAAGAGGAAGCGTGAGAAGCACAGGTCCATGAAACAAGGGCCAATAATCAAGGACAGCTGAGGAGGGAAAGAAGGGAGGAAAGGTTGCAGAGAGAACTGTAGTGGTGAAGCAGAACAGACAAACAAACAAAACCTGAGTATAGCATTGCAGTGGGTGCGAGCTGCCGAGGTTGGTTTTGACACTTGAGTATGCTCTTGCTCTTGCTCTTGCTCATACTCTTGCACTTGCTCCGAGAGCACGAAAGCACACCTTCCAGGAAGGCGAGAAAGTCAAGCGACGCCTTGTAGTTGAGCAGGAACTGTGCAGGTCGGCCTGGGGAGAAGGCAGCAGCGTGCGACCGGTGCAACGCAGCAGCCACCTCCTTCAGCACACTGGCGGCCAGGAACTGGAACACATGCAAGCCAGCATCCGCCGATGCTACAATGCCCACCACAAACTGGCACGCCTCGGAGACTGCTCCCTCGATGCGCTCGTACACGCCTTGCAGCAAGTCGCCTGCTGCTCCAGCTGCGGTGGGTGAGGACGGGGACTTGGGTGACGACGGCGCCTGCTCCTGCGGCTGCTGCTGCTGCTTCCCTCCTCCTGCTCCTCCTCCCGCTGCTGCTGCTCCCAGCAGCGCCTGTGCCACAAGGGGAGCAACGACGGCCCGGCGGAAAAGCTCTTCAGCGTCAGCAGCGGCGTCAAGGGAGGCGAAGGCGCGCAGGCAGTGGTAGACGACACGGCGCCAGCGCTGGTGCAGCCCGCGCTCCAGGCACCGCCGCAAGTGCGCTGCCAGCGTGCTGCTGGCCTGCCGGATGCGCCCCTCCACTGACCGCACGAATGGAAGATCCTGCAGAGCGGGTGAGGGGGTGAGGGTTGCGGGGGAGGAAGGGGGGGGGGTGGTTGAGTCGACTAAAAAGTGCTGCTGGCCTGCCCTGCCGGATGCGCCCCTCCACTGACGGCACGAACGGCGGGTCCTACCGCGCAGAGAAGGCGGGAGGTGGGGGGGAGAATGGGACGCGTTTTGAGTCGACTCGGAGCGCATGCTGCTGGCCTGCCGGATGCGCCCCTCTACCGAGCGCACGAACGGCAGGTCCTGCAGGGGGGGCGAGCGGTGCAAGGGGAGAGTGGGGAGTGGGGAGTGGGAAGCGGGGAGTGGGAAGCAGGGAGTGGGAAGCAGGGAGTGGGAAGCGGGGAGTGGGAAGCAGGGAGTGGGAAGCGGGGAGTGGGAAGCAGGGAGAAGGAAGCGGGGAGTGGGCGCAGCGCAGGGAGTGGGAAGCAAGGTGTGGGGGGCTGGGTTCTCCGTGTGCGTGCGTGCATTGCATTGCATGGGTGTGCTTCCAAAACTCGGCACTTTTCACGTGCCTCAACAATCACCTCACATGCTGTGCTCTCTCTCTCTCTCTCTCTCTCTCTCTCTCTCTCTCTCTCTCTCTCTCTCTCTCTCTCTCTCTCTCTCTCTCTCTCACCTTTCCCTTGGCCACGTAGAAGTTGAGGCGGTTCATCTCACTTGCAATCCGCTCTAGCAACCGACTCCGCGCCTCCTCCAACTCCCTCTCCGCATCCCTCCCCGCCCCCACGCCCGCCGCCGCATCCCCCCCCTCCTCCCCTGCACTCCCCTCCCCACCCCCACCCTTAACAGGACCATTCCTCGCTGCTGCTGCTGCAGAGATAGAAGCCGGAGGTCTTTTGCCTGGGGACGCAGATGCAGTGGGCGCTGCTGGGGCGGAAGCAGAGGCAGACGCGGAAGAGGAGGAGGAGGCGGAGGCAGAGGAGGGTGGGAGGGGAGGGGCGTCGGGCATGGCGTGCAGCTCGAGCAGCAGCTTCTCGACCTTGGAGAGGACGTTGGAGGTGTCTAGCAGCAGTTCTAGTATTTGGCGCGCTGTGGCCGCCTCTGCCCTGCGCGCCAGCCCGTCTTCTAGCGCTGCTGGCGCCGCTGCCACGCTGCTGCGCACTGCCAGCAGCTGCGCCCTGAGCTCTGTGAGAGGGACTCTCATGCGCAGCACTGCCCCGTCCACGTCCACCTGAATGGGAAGGGTGGGAATGGAAGGGGAAAGGGGACAGGGAGGGGGGGAGGGGAGGAAGGACGAAATAGAAAGAGGGACGGGAGAGTGAGGGAGAAAAAATGGGAACGATTGGGTGGCATGCGGATGTTGGGGCTAGTTCTGTGTTTGAGAACTCACGAGTTTTGTGGAGAGGTTGACAAAGTCGTTGTAGTCGCGGTTGATGAGCTCCACCAGCTCGCTCTTGAGCGCCGCCAGGTGCTCCCTCAGCTCCGCGCGCACCGACTCCAACGGCGCTATGCGCCGCACCGTCGCTATGTACGCGTCTGGGTCGAACGACGGGTCCAGGAACGCTGATTTGTCCAGCCACATGGGCTGGTGGGGGGAAGTGCAGACAGGAGGGACAGGACAGGAGGGCGTGGGTACAGAGAAGTTGGGGGAGAAAGATCTGGTCCTCTTATTGGACTCAAAGGTCGAACGACGGGTCCAGGAACGCTGACTTGTCCAGCCACATGGGCTGGTGAGAGGGGGACACGCGGGACAAGCGCAGTCGGGGATAGGGAGTGGTGGGATATATGGAGGTGGGGCAGCGGGAGGCCGGCACAGGGATATGATGGAAGGGAAGGCAGACGGGGGGAAGGCACGGAAGAAAGGGTGGAAACACGGGCGGAGGACTGGCGGAAAACAATCCCAGTAACGGGAGCGGGGAAGGCGCGAGTGAGACATGGATTCACTAAGCGGCGATCAAGGACGGCAGGTCCAAGTGACCGGCTTTTATTCAGTAGCAGTCCTGCTGGTCCTGGATCACCCTGGCCTGGCTTTCACGCATTGCCTGGACATAGCCTGGCCGGCAGGATTTCAAGAGATTCTGAGTTACTATAGGAGATTCGACAGAATTCTAGAGGAATCTAGGAGATTTACGAGGATTCTATAATCCGTCTTGGCCGTGCTCTCCGCGAGCCACGCTCTGCGGAACCCTTGCGGACGTGTCCCCACTCGCTGATAGGATTTCCCACAGCCGGACATTGCTGCCGTCGTCTCCCTCACATGATCGCATGGCACCGTAATCGCTATGCCGTCCTACCTCACGCACGCCGCTACAGGCTGGCACTATACGCCACCTTACTCCTTCTCACCACACCACCACGAACTCCTCTTCCCTATCTTCCTGACGTCCCTTCAAAATCACGACAACGAAGCCGTTTCCTTGTTTCCCCTGATTCCTCCTTAGCGCCTTCTGGATCCTGCTATTTCGTCCTACCTGCGGGTCTTTATCGTCGCCAAATAAGGAGGCCAGGTTCGTAGGCCGAGCCGCGCCTGACGTCGGCGACATAGCGGACGCCGATCCGTCTTCCCCGAGAGGCGGCTCGGCGCGGTCTTGCGCAAAGCCATTGGCTGAAATCTCCTCCGCCATTGCGGCTTCTCAACGAGACTGACTAATTCGATCCGACCAATAATGGATGCGCGAGTAGAACAGCGCCGCGGATCACATCACAACGGCGAGCTAGAGACGCGCTGTCAGAGATTAGTTCGATACGGAGGGTAGGCGGTGGCGAAACGAGGAACCACACAGAGCCACGGATTCGCCGGTAGGCATTGGTTGGCGTCAGTCAAGTCAGTAGTGAAGTGTCAGTGGGGAATGCGGAGGTGTGTGGTGAGCTCGGGTGCGGTGGTGCACAGATCTCATGATGAACCATCCCAGTTGCGAGGAGGAAGAGATGGTCAGAGATTGGTAACCAGCTGTAACAAAACTAACTCAAATTGAGAATTACACTATCGAAATGCTAAAATAAGCGAGATAAAAAAGCTGGTGCACAGAAAGATTGTGGCTATTGCGAATCACTCTATGACCACCACTTGTCATTGGTGTGGCGGCAAGAGAGTGGGAGCGTCGCAAAACTAGTGATTACGCGCCTCTGTTTGCACGCAACCGGGGCGTGCAGTTCACCTCTCTGATAGTAGAGACATGGGGGTGTCTCGACGGTCGTTTTCGGCGGTGGCTTCGTCAGCAGAGGGATGCGCACGTGGGGCTAGCTGTGTCGCGGGTGTTGGGCTGAGAAGCCCTAGGATCTTTGTAGAGTTTAAGGACTGAGTAGGATTGTAATCGCGGAAGCGTTGAATAAAAGAATGGTTGAACCACCTTGCACTAGTATGTGAGAGCAAAGTAAGTTAGATTAAACAAGCAAATACAAGGTTTATATAAGAGTACAAGGAATACGAATAGATAGATTTAAACCGTTTTACTGTTGCGATTCGATACAGTGCGACTCGGGCAACTGCTCAATGTCGAGTCAGTTGTGTGTCCTTGCTGTCGCGCTGTATTGGTCAAGTCAAAGGTCGCTGACCTTTGACCTTCGCGTAACCTCCAGGCGGTTACCCCAACCTCCGAGGGTTGACTCGCGATGCTTCGATTTGGACTGCTTCGCTAGTGTCCCGAGTTTCGACACGACAGAGGCGCCTTAAGACTTATTGTTCCCAACACTCCCCTTCGCTTCTGGAGTGTCGCTGATGGTGACGTGGCCTTGTCCAGTCAGCAGCATGCAGTACTCGAACTTCTGTTTTCCGAGCTTCTTGGTCAAATAGTCGGCTGCCATCTCGGACGTGGGACAGTAGGATAACTCGAGTCTTCCTTTCTCGATCTCGTCTTTCACGAAGAAGTATCGCAGAGCGATATGCTTCGTTCTGTTCGCGAATCCGTTTTTGTTGGCGATGCGAATTGCAGATTGGTTGTCGCAGTGCAGGGTGAAGCTGGGTAACTCAGGTAACTTTGCTTCTTCCAGCAGTTCACGAAGGTAGAGTCCTTCCTTGGTGGCTGAGCAGATGGCGATATATTCTGCTTCAGCTGAAGAGAGAGCGATTAGTTCCTGCTTACTCGACTGCCAGGAGATAGGCCCGATAGGCTCGAGACGATAGACGTAGCCGGTACGAGAACGCCTGTTATCAGAATCGCCGGCATGGTCAGCATCGACGTAACCGATTAGTTTCGTCGTCGTAGCTTCGCCCTTGTAGTAAGTTAGGCCGATTGTCGGTGTGCTCACGAAGTAGTGCAGTGCGCGATCGAGCTCTGACATGTGATCTGCTTCAGGCTTCTTGAGGTAGGTAGCGAGTTGACTCGCGGAGTAGGATAGATCCGGGCGACAGGTGATGGCTGCGAAGAGCAGACAGCCCAGTTTTCGCTGGTAGTCGCGTATTCCGGCGGTTTTTAGTAGGGTGGAGTTTCCTTGGCCGTTTCCTGCCGTGTAGCGGTATGGCGTGGCGATAGCGGTAGGGGTGAGCGAGAAGCGCTTGGCGATCGTGTCGGCGTATTTCTCGGCGCTTAGATAGATTGCGTTTTCTTCTTCGCGGATGTTGAGCCCGAGATACTGGGTGACGGTGGAGGAGACGGTGAGCGTGAGGTCCTTCTGCAGCTCCCCTTCGAACCAGGTGGTGACGTCGTCGGTGGAGCCGATGTAGAGGAGATCGTCGACGTAGACGATGAGTAGGATGTAGTTGGCGCCTTTAGTGAGTCGGTACATGCCCTGGTCATGGGGCAGTTGGCGGAATCCGATGCGGATGAGGCGGGTGTGCAGGTGCTGTTGCCACAGCCGTGGGGCCTACTTGATTCCGTAGAGGGACTTTAGCAGTTGGCAGACTTGATTGGGTTTCCCGTGGGTACCGTGAGGGAGCTCGACGAAGATGTCGGCGTCGACAGGTGCGTAGAGGAAGGCATTGACGACATCAATCTGTCGTAGCTTCTTCTTCTTCATGGCGGCGACGGCGAGAAGAATGCGGAGAGAGGTATGTCGACTAACTGGGGCGAAGGTCTCGGTGAAGTCTCGTCCTTGTTCCTGGTCGAATCCACGCACGACCCAGCGTGCTTTGAACTTCTCGATTGTGCCGTCAGCTTTCGTCTTGATGCGGAAGACCCATTTCCCGGTGAGAATGGTCTTGTTCCGTGCCACGCTTGCGGGAACGACCTTCCAGGTGTTGCGTTCCTCCAATGCCTTTAATTCCCTGTCCATGGCTTCACGCCATTTTTCCCTGTGTTCCCCCCCCAGAGCCTGCTGAACTGTCGCAGGCTCTTTAGGAAGAGTGTTGCCGGCGGTCCCATGGACTGCGGTGACGAGGCCAAGGATTTGTAGCCCAGTCTGTGAGTATCGAGGGAGTTCTGGGTCCTCGGGATAAGCTGCTTCGTCTCCCGCTTCTGGGTCGGGGATGAAATTTGGCCCTATCCTTTCTGCTTCGTTGGTGTTGACTGTCGCAGGTGTTACGTAACCGTTGTCGGCGAAGTGGTAGAAGACTTCGGCGTTGTTACTGACGCGAGGATTATCTTCATCCATGGGCACATCGACGGAGCAGTACGGGAGAGGTCCGGCTTCCTCCGATGCGTTGTCGACGTTTTGTTCATCCCAGTCTGCTTCGTCCGCTGCTGAGGCGAAACCTCGGTCACCACGAAAGCCACCTGTGGGGTCCCGATTCTCGTGCAAGTTGGCGAGGTACGTCTGAAGGGTGAGTCGTTCGTAGAAGATCACATCACGTGCTGCTACTGTTTCTTTTGTGTGGACGTCGAAGATTCTCCACGCGTTGTAATTTTTTTTTTATGCCGAGGTGTAGTCCCCTTTGTGCCCGTTGCGAAAATCTTCCCGCTCGTGCTTCTGGGGGTCGGTACTGTACCATGCACCCAAATACTCGTAACATTTTTGTGCTGCCCTGCTTTCCTGTCCACAGCAGATGCGGTGATGCGTTGTTCGGGAGTGACGACGACGAAAGCAAGTTGTGCAGCATGACAGCATGGTCCATTGCTGCTGGCCACTGGTGGTTGGGTAGCCGCATGCCACGTAGTAGTTTGCGCATGCTGTTCTGCAGGGTCCTGTTCATTCTTTCTGCAACACCCTCCTGCTGATGTGCGTAGGGAAGGGAGAGGAGTTGCTTGATCCCCCTTTCCGCCAGGTACTGCTTGAAGCGCTGAGAGGTGTATTCGCCACCTCCGTCTGACTGGAAGCTTTTCAGCTGTGTTCCTGATTCCCTTTCTGCTACCGGTAGCCAAGCGGCGAATGCTGCGAGTGCCATGTCGCGGCTGGGTAGGTTGCGATGCCAGACGTATCGAGTGGCGGCGTCGATGAAGGTAATCGTGTAATTATAGGTTACTTGGCCTGGTTCTCGATTGTAGAGGATGTCGCTGTAGACTTTTTCGAGTGGTGCGTATGCAGGTGCGCTCGGGTTGTGGTGAGAAGAAAAAGGTCGATGTGGTAAGTCGGCCTCGGGGCAGATGAGGCAAGTCCCCCGTGCACGTTGAAGTTCTCTGCCGTCGAGTAGTAGTAGTGAGTCTTTGTCTAGTACTCCTGCTCGTATCGTATTATTTAACACCGTGTTACTTGGATGTCCTGTGCGTGCGTGCCAGATGTCTTCGGAGGCGCGGTGTCCGGGTGAACGTTGATATGCGTCAGAGTTGGAGTAGAAGCTGGCGACGAAGTTGGCGCTGCGGTGGACTTCTCGTTGAGTCGGGTTCAGCTGTTGTGCGGGTGTTGGTGGTGTTTCGTCGACGATGACTGGTGTCGTTGTTCCTGCTGCTGCCGATGTTGTTGCTGCTGCCGATGTTGTCTCTGCTGCTGCCGATGTTGTTGCTGCTGCCGATGTTGTCTCTGCTGCTGCCGATGTTGTCTCTGCTGCTGCCGATGTTGTCTCTGCTGCTGCCGATTGTTGAATTGTTGCTAATGCTCGTGTTCGCTCTGCTTCAGGGATGGTGTGTGAGTACCAGAAGCCTCTTGGACTGAAATCAGGATCGAGGTCCGGAGGGTGTGTCCAGTCGGTAAAATTGACGATGGCGTCGCTGTCTGCAGTGCCCAGGTCGGGGACGAAGTCAAGAACGAAGACGTTATTCTTCAACACTGCTTTCCCGATGTAGAGGCCGCCCCTCCCGTGGTATAACTTAAATTCTTGGTTGGTGCTGTCGGCTTCCAAGTGAATCCCCTTCGCCATCAGCTGGCTAACACTCAGTAAGTTGTAACCGAGTCCTTCTGCGATGAGTACTTTTGACATGTGTAGTATAACGTTGGTCTCTCTTGATTGAAGCTGAACGACTCCTTGTCGCCTTGTGCGCAGGTTCTGGTTGTTGGCGACCGTGATGACTACTTCTCGCTGGAGTCGATGTTCGCGTTGTACGAAGCGCCCGGAGGAACACATGTGTTGTCCGCAGCAACTATCCAAGAACCAAGTGTCTTGGCCGGACGGTTCGCTTTGAGCGATGGCGGCGTACGTCGGATTCGGCTGGAGTGATTCGCGGCGAGGCGTCCTGTTGTCGAGCTCCTCTTCTGGTGAGTAGTAGGGTGGCGACTTTGTAATGCAGGAATCGTTTATCTTTACCATGCAGTTGACGATGCTTCTTGCTCCTTGTGCAGGTTGTCCAGTTGAAGTCGTTGAAGCTTGGATCGTGGTTGTCGGACTTGCTTGCGTTGAAGCAACTTGGGAGCTTGAAGGCCGCAGTTGTCGCTGTGGTGTCGTCTGACGAGACGGGCAATGCGTGCGAGGATGGCCCGAGGTTTTGCAGATGTGGCAGAACGGAGGTACTGTTTTCACTTGCTGTTGTCGATTGTTGTTGCCGTTGTGTCGTCGCTGAGTGTGAAAAGCAAATTCTGGTGCTAAAGCTTTCTTCTTGTGTCTTTCTTCTTGCAGGTCCATGTCCTGCTGCTCAGCATGAATTTCGGCGCAGAGTGCCGCTTCGGAGATCCTCCCGTGTGCTCGTAATATGGCGCGAGTGGAGCGCCAGTGGGGGCCGAGACCGCCGATGACCACCGTGACAAAGGCGTCTTCTGAAATTGACCCGCCGCATCGAAGAAGCTTGTCGCGCAGTTCGCGGCAGCGGCTGATATAAGCCATGCCTTTCTCGTCTGGTTTCATTTCAATCGTTGTCAACTGCGCCATTAACCTGCTTTGGTTTACGCTGTCTGTTGCTTGATACAGGTTCTTCAGGTGGTTGTACGCGAGCTCCGAGGAGTTGCCGTAGCCTCGGTAAGTCCTGATGTTCTGCTGCTGGGTTGGGGTGATGTTCCTCAGCAGAATCGTGTACCCCATCATCGATTGATATGTATACTGCTGCTTCTCATATTGTGTCCCGTTTGTCGGATATGGCAGGGACCCGTCGAAGAAGCCAAGAATCTGTGCTCCTTCCATCATCAGTTCAAACTCGAACGACCAGGTAAAGAAATCTTTGCCGTCGAAAGGCTTTGTCGTTTGTAATTTTAGGACGTGCGCGAATTCCGATTGGACTTGTAACGCGTCCAATGTCCTTTCTTGTCCCGATGCAGGTTGCGATTGCGGCATGAAGCTGACGGAGCCACGTTGGGGCTCGTACGGCGCAAAGGTAGGCTGCTGTTGTTGTTGTTGCATCCCGCGTGCATAGGATGAGCCGTCGAGGCTCATCGGAGTAACATTGTTGTTGTTGTTGCTGTTGTTTGACTGCGCAGGCACTCCTTGCTGGTGTTGCTCGTAGAAGGACATGAAGGAGAAAAAATTCTCCATCATGTTTGAATCGAAGCCTGCTGGTGTTTCCGTGGACCCAGCTGCTGGTCTTGCGGTAGTGCCTTCCTCTGTCTGTAGGCCAGAGGTAGGAGGTGGAGTAGGAGTAGTGCCTGGGGAGCCGTTGGAGGAGCTCCTCTCCTTCCTTGCAGACATGTCTTCTTTCTTTGTATTTAAGTATTGAGAGAGAAAATGATCTTAAACTCTAACTGCTCTCATACCATGTTGGGCTGAGAAGCCCTAGGATCTTTGTAGAGTTTAAGGACTGAGTAGGATTGTAATAGCGGAAGCGTTGAATAAAAGAGTGGTTGAACCACCTTGCACTAGTATGTGAGAGCAAAGTAAGTTAGATTAAACAAGCAAATACAAGGTTTATTTAAGAGTACAAGGAATACGAATAGATAGATTTAAACCGTTTTACTGTTGCGATTCGATACAGTGCGACTCGGGCAACTGCTCAATGTCGAGTCAGTTGTGTGTCCTTGCTGTCGCGCTGTATTGGTCAAGTCAAAGGTCGCTGACCTTTGACCTTCGCGTAACCTCCAGGCGGTTACCCCAACCTCCGAGGGCTGACTCGCGATGCTTCGATTTGGACTGCTTCGCTAGTGTCCTGAGTTTCGACACGACAGAGGCGCCTTAAGACTTATTGTTCCCAACAGCGGGGGGCTTGTCGGGAGGACGACACTGTGTTTTCGGCTTATCTTTTAGGGTCATTGAAGGCGCTCATCGGGGTGGCGTTACAACGTGCGCAAGCCCGTGTCATCCTGCTTCGAGCGGCGTCTTCCATGGGGGGGATTAACGTAGATTTGGTGGACCGGGAGAGGGACGATGTCGATATGGAAGGCGGGGCTCTCTGGGTGGAGGCCCCGTACATGGTGGCTACGCTGTTGTGAATTGGGGGGGGGGGGGGGGGGGGGGGGGGGGGGGGGGGGGTGGGGGGGGGGGGGGGGGTTTGAAATGGAGTGTGGGATGGGATGTCTTGATGGGGTGTCTTGACTGGGCGTTTTGATTGGGTATATTGAGGGGGGGTTTTATGTGTGTTGCCTTTGGGATCTCTATGGCAGTTTCATTTTCATTCTCCCTTTCTTTCTTCATTTCCTTTCTCCTTTATTTATGTCTTTCTTTCTCTTTTTTCCTTTTTCTGTCTAGGACCATGAAAGTTTCGCCTGGCTGCTATATACAATACCTATCCGATCGTGAACCACTTGTCATTGGTCAGAAGATTCCCTGCCCTGTCAAATTCACCAACACTAGCACGACCACCTCATTCACCACCAGGCCCGTCGATTCAAGGGCAAATGCCCTTAATGCCCTGAACATTAAGAGCTAGTTTCGCTCCAGCTCCAATGCGGCAAGTTCTGAATCCCACCCGTGCCACTAAGTGCTTCGTTCGACCCTTCCCCGGATGCGTTAAGGGACGAAACCAGGCCTTCCCCCCTATCTAAGTTTTGGTTTCCGCTCGTAGGACCCCCCCCACCCAGGGTGCCCAAGACCCCCCCCCCCCCCCCCCCCCCCCCCCCCCCCCCTTTCTCCTTAGCCTGCACTAGAGCGCGCCAAGGGGATTTTTCCCTTAGCGTTTTCTAGCCAATCTCGTATGTGTGTAGTGTGTCTCAGTCAGCCTTGGAGCACCCGAACATTCCCTTAGCGTCCAATACGAGCTGGCCGCAGTTTACAGCTGTGACGCATAGGATTAGGTTGGGTGAATCTGGCTAAGTTTATCAGCCACAGAGAACTCCAAAGCACCTCAAAGGAAGTGAAGCACTCCAGCGTAGGAGCTCTCTCACCACCTTCGTTCGTGCGTGCCACCATTCCTCTCCACCACCATGCATTCCATACACCACCACCCACCCACCCACCCAACCTCCCACTCCTCTCCTCTTTTGTTCGTGCCATGTTTTCTCTTCTCCACCGTCTGACCACCTCCACGGTACCGCCCACCCAAGCTCTCTGCTCTCCTCCACCCACCAACTCTGCCGAGTAAAGCTCGCGTCGCCTCGTTCACACACGCGAGGTTTATATATTGGCTAGCTAACCCGTTCCCTTCGTCAGCCACAATCTCCCACCATGGACCATAGCGAGGGTGAAACCCCTCCTCCAGTTTTGCCCACGACGAACTTCTCTTATTCTCATACTACAACCGAGACCGAGCCCTACGTAGCCACGGATGCTGAAGACATGCTAGACGTAGCAATCTCAGTCTTGGACACGTGCCTCGCCCAGCAAGCCTCATCGTCACAGTCTACTCCGAGGTCTATAGCCCATTATCGTCAGGTTCACCTAAGCTTCGCTAGTCTGCCACCAGACACGCGAAAGCGCGCATGATGCGTACCGCCACCACCCACTGCTGAGGAGTTGGAGGCGCAAGACAACGCGATCGCAGAGGATGCAGAAGTACCCCCGGACACCGAGATCCCTGAGGCCGAGAGGAGTCTTGCACGTCGCTTCAGCACGTCGTGGAAGCAGACGTACTCGTGGCTGAGCTTGAAGTACAACAAACATGAGCGCCAGTATGGTATGAAGTGTTCCGTCTGCTGTAAGTTTGCTCCTAACACCAAGTCTCCCTTTGGCGGTGCTGGAGTCGGTGCAAGGGATTTTCAGAAGTCGTCGTGCCGCAACCATGACCAGTCCAAGGTGCACCTCGCGGCCATGGAAGCTGAACGACTCTCTGAAGGCACGGAGGTGAGGCAGCGCAGCCTCTTGAATATGCTTAGCAGCGATCCTGTCATGGCGAGGGTCGTCAAATGCATGCAAGGAGCTCACTGGATTGCGCGGAACGATGCACCTATCGCGCTCTACCCCATGCTGGTGCGGTTCATGGCGGAGCAAGGATGCCCCGACATGATGACCGACGAATCGTACGGTCGTTATTACTCGCAGTACGTGCTTGTTAGCCTTTGTTTCTGCTCCTGATTTCCTGCTTTTGCTTCTGTTCGTATGCTTCTGCTTTGTTCTACTTCTGCTGTTCTATTGTGGATAACTTACTCACATTTTCATTCGGTGCTCATTGCAGATACGCCTTCGGCGAGTTCGTAGAGGCTATGGCGGAGCATCTGGTGGCCAAGCAGCTCGAGGACATCAAAGAGTCGGCCTGGTACAGCCTCTCCTTCGATGAATCCACGGATCGCGCGCGTGGAAAGCATCTCATCGTGTATGTCACGTTTGAGAGAGCCGAGGCCGTGGTGTCCCAGTTTCTTGCTCTCCTGTCACTCGAACGTTGCGACACCGCAGCACTGCACGACACGATCGTTAAGTGTTTGTGGTCGAAGGACATGTCGCTGGACAAGCTTGTCAGGGTGTCAACGGATGGTGCATCCGTGATGACTGGTGCGAAGAACGGCGTTGTCGCCATGCTTCGGAAACGTTGCCCGTGGCTGGTGGCGATTCACTGCGTGGCGCATCGGTAAGGTTGCACTGCACTGCTTCCGATCGTATTGTACACCTGTCCCCTCCCCAACCATACTCACGCACGTCTCGTGCTTGTGCAGCGAGGCATTGGCTGCCAAGGATGCCGCGAAGAGCTTCAAGGAGTTCAACGTCGTAGATCATATGATACGCCAGACTGCTGAGCATCTCGGGCGTTCATCGACCGATCACAAGACCTACATGCATCTCCAGGACGTCATTCTGCAGACGCACCTGGAGGTGCAAGGCTTCTGCACCGTCCGTTGGTTGTCTCGCGGGGATGCTGTGAGTCGCTTCTGTGACGTGCTGCCGGTGCTGATGTGGATGTGGACGAAGGAGAAGGGCGAGACGGAGAAACTCGCTACCAGCTTCAAGTTCCACTACATGCTGTATCTCCTGGCTGACGTGCTGGCGTTGCTCAACGGACTCAATCTGTCCTTCCAGAAGCAGACGGTAAGGTGCAGATGAGCATGGCGTTGTCGCTTCTTGACTTGTGTGCTTTGCTCTATTTTTTTCGCGCTCTGTTTGCTTTCAGGTCGACATTATAGAGGTGAAGAACCATGTCGACAAGGTGAAGACCAAGCTGTCGCAGTACTACGTCGAGCCCGGCGCATCCAACGGGCCGAACACCTCTCGCCTGAACAAGTTCCTTGCTGCACACGGCAGCAAGGACAAGCGTAAGATGGAGCTCAAGGGACTGGACGAGAACGGCAAGCATGCAAAAGCCGAGATCGAGCTTCACGAGGACATCATCAACCCTGAAAACACTGGGGGGGGATGCGACTTGGAGGCGTGCGTGGACCTGGCGAGGCGTTTCGCTCAGCGCCTGATTAAGGCGCTGGGGAAGAGGATGGCGGATCTGCGTCATTTCGATGGTGTTGGTTTTTTCTCCCCTGATAAGTATCCCGACCGTGCAGGAGAGCAGGACGCGTGGGTGAAGCGCCATCTCTCCGAGCTCCTTGACATGTTCAAGAACAAGCTACCTGGTAAGACGAGAGGGGTAGAGTAGGAACCTTGTAAAGGTTCTAACCTTGTTTATGTTCTAACCTTGAATATGGTTTTCTCCAACATTGGCATGTTCTAACCTTGTTGTATATGTCCTTGGCAGGAGTCGCTCTTGCTGACATAGAGCCGCAGATGCGCCTCTTCACAGCCACCATGGAGAAGAAGTTCAAGAAGCAGAGCTTTCATCAGGCTCTCACCAACATGTTGCGCACGGCAGACTGGAAGGATGACTATCCCACCATAGTCTCCCTCTGGCGTGCAGTCTCTGTGTTGCCCCTCAGCACTGTTGAGTGTGAGAGGGGCTTCTCCCGCCAAAACATTATTAAGTCGTGGGATCGTGTTGCTCTTACTGATGTTAGGCTGGGGGAGCTGATGACGGTGAAGATGCTAGACTACCCAGTGGACTGGGCAGCCGCCTATGCCTTGTTTGAGGAGAAGGGGAGGAAGCCTGCCAAATAGGCTTGCATTGCATGTTTGGGTAGAGTAGGGTAGTTAAATCTGCATGCTAAATCTGTAGTTAGTGAAAAGTAGAACATTGCAGGCAAGGTAGGTTTTATGACTATTGAAGACATGTGTAGTATTAGGTATGACTGACATCTAATATAAGTTGAAAACTGCACGTATCACAGTAAAATACAGTGTAAGTGTAAACTTCAAATATGCCCGGATTTCAAGTTTTCACTTTGGGGTGCGCCCGTGACCGTTAAGGGCGCCAAAACGCACACCTACACCCAACCAAGGGTCAGATGCGGAGGAGCTGGGGGAGCGCAAGTACGAGCCCCAGAAACTTCGACAGGCCTGTTCACCACCGCATTCCCTGCCGCACCGCCGCAGTTTCTGCCGCAAAATTGGCTGTTATCGCCGCCATGCTCACCGTCGCACGTGCAGTCGCTCGGCATCGCAGCAGCAAAGGCGCATGCCATGAATGCGTCGTCGCCGCTGTGTCGCACAACGTCGCGACGCTCTTGTCAGTTCCCGCACAGACGTCCTCCAATGAGATCAGCCCAAATCACATCTCCCATGCCACGTCATCTACATTCGGAGGCGCATCTCCCGCCACCGTGACATCTCCTGAAACCGCGGCAACTGATCCGACGGTCGTGATCAGTTCCAACGCGCGATCCACGGTGCAGCGGCTCACCAGCGGCCACGCAGCGACTGTTGCTCCGCAATCGGCGGCGGTGGAAGGCGGGCTGCTGTGGCAACAGCTGGCAACGGGTCCGCTGAGTCGCGGCGGGCTGGCGCAAAGCGTGCGCCACGCGCGGGTCACGGGGTCGGAGGTGCGGCGTAGGGGGGAGCGGAGGGGGGAGCGTAGAGGGAGAGCAGGGAAGGGGAAGCGGAAGGGAGGAGGCGAAATTATATGTGCGCCTGAAAGAATAGGTTGTTTTTCGAGGGGTGTTGGGGAGATTAGGACGTAGCAGTAGGGCCTGGGAACGGAGGGTGGGAGTGTGGGTGGGGGCGAGAAGAGAATGAGCGTCGCGGTAGGGAAGGGGAAGGAGGGAGGGTGGATGGCAATGCACCCTCCCATGCGGGCAGCCATGGTTCTTTAGTCCATCGCTTGTGCAACATCTAGAAAGGCGTTAGCTTTATACAGCAGAATGTGTGTTACGTACGTGCACTTATGTATGTGTTTCCCCCTTGTCTATGTGGGCATGTGTCCATGTGGGCATGTGTGCATGTGGGCATGTGCGGATGGGTGTTATGTGGGCGCAGGTGAAAGTGGGCAGTGTCATAGAGCGAAAAGGTGAGGCATTCCAAACCTGCTGCTGCTGCTGCTGTGCACACAATACAATGCACCTCACCTTACCAGACATCATTCTCTCCATCTATCTCTCTCTCTCTTGCATCCACCAACGATCTAGCCCTTGTTCTTTCTTTGCCCACTGTTACATCTTTCACCTTTCTGATGTTTCACACCATGGATTGTCTCACACCATGCATTGTCTCACACCATGCATTGTCTCACACCATGCATTGTCTCACACCATGCATTGTCTCACACCATGCATTGTCTCACACCATGCATTGTCTCACACCATGCATTGTCTCACACCATGCATTGTCTCACACCATGCATTGTCTCACACCATGCATTGTCTCACACCATGCATTGTCTCACACCATGCATTGTCTCACACCATGCATTGTCTCACACCATGCATTGTCTCACACCATGCATTGTCTCACACCATGCATTGTCTCACACCATGCATTGTCTCACACCATGCATTGTCTCACACCATGCATTGTCTCACACCATGCATTGTCTCACACCATGCATTGTCTCACACCATGCATTGTCTCACACCATGCATTGTCTCACACCATGCATTGTCTCACACGAAGCTTTGTCTCACATGTCTCGTATCAGTCCATGTCTCACCGCCTCCATCTGACTGCCCCCTTCCCATCCGCCTCCTCCTCCACTTCCCGTTCCATGTGCTGCCCTGTTGACGTCGGGCAATGCCATGTCATGCCATGCCACGTGGATCCTCTGATGCAGGCAGATATTTCCAGGTGTGTGTATTGCTGCTGCTGCTGCTGCTGCTGCTGCTGCTGCTGCTGCTGCTGCTGCTGCTGCTGCTGCTGCTGCTGCTGCTGCTGCTGCTGCTGCTGCTGCTGCTGCTGCTGCTGCTGCTGCTGCTGCTGCTGCTGCTGCTGCTGCTGCTGCTGCTGCTGCTGCTGCTGCTGCTGCTGCTGCTGCTGCTGCTGCTGCTGCTGCTGCTGCTGCTGCTGCTGCTGCTGCTGCTGCTGCTGCTGCTGCTGCTGCTGCTGCTGCTGCTGCTGCTGCTGCTGCTGCTGCTTCTGCTGCTGCTGCTGCTGCTCCTGCTGCTGCTACAAGTGCGCATGCAAATGAGTTCATAGTGCATGCACATGGTCGATTGCCACTTGCGTGGGTACATGCATGAGTGGTGCGGGCGCAAGCGTATGAATGTGCCGTGAACACACACACAGACCAAAGTTATTACCATCAGGGTGCGTCCACTCCACATTAGGTTTGCTAGTTGTGCCACAACGCGTTTCTCTCATGCATTGCATCTCCCTCCTCCTCCTCCTCCTCCTCCATCTCCTATCCGCCTCCTTATCCAGGTTGTGAAGACGCAGCACACACAGCAAGGCCGTGGCGGTGCTACCATTCAGGTACACACACACACACACACCATGTGCCACGTGCCATCAAACCAGCACTGCCCCAATCTTCCCCCACTGCTTCTCATGCTGCCATTTCCCCACACCACCTTTCACCACTCCAGGTCCATCTTAAACATGCTGCGCCCTGCCTCTGCCCCATGCCTCCGTGCCCAGTCTCTGCGGCTCCCCCTGACCCCTTCCCCTCCCCTTCCCCCACACTCTGGCGGTCCCCTCGGCGCCTACCCCGCGTCCTGCATGTGTGTGCGTGTCCATGTGGGTGCTGTTGTGCCACAGGTGGAGCTGCGGGACGTGCAGACGGGCCTCAAGAGCAACGAGAAGCTGCGCACCTCCGAGCACATTGAACGTCAGTCAGCTCGTGCTCTCCGCCCCTCCTGCTCTTTTTCCGCCCTGCTCTCCCTTCAACTATTGAAGGCTTCCAGTCGCGGCCATTTCTCCAGTCGTAACCACTCAATTCCATGCCTCTCGTCTGGGTTTCAATTTCAAATGTGAGGTTTTGTCTTTCCCGGTTACTCTTCATCCATCTTTCTGGGGTCCCACCATGAAAACCCACCCTGCCCCACCCTCCCACCCTGCCTCACTCACCTTCCCCTTCCACCCCGTCCTCACCCCGCGTATTGCTTGCTCCCCTCTCCACCGCAGTGGTGTTTTCGGATGAAAAGCCCTTTGTGTTGCTCTATGTGGACGTGGACAACGCTTGCCTAGCCACCTCGTGTTCCCTCCCCGTCCTCATCCCTTACTGCCCGGATCCCCTCATACCGTTTTGGGATGACAAGCCCTTTGTGAGGTTACCTCTAAGCCAACTTAAAAGCCACCCACCCGTCCCCGTACCGTACCCCTCTGATCCCCTACCCACCCACCGCAGTGGTGTTTTCGGATGACAAGCCCTTTGTGTTGCTCTACGTGGACGAGGACAACGCTTGCCTGTCCATCCCACCCGCCCCGCCTCACTCACTTTCCCTTTCCTCCCCATCCTCGTCCCTCACTCCACCGGTCCGATGCTCACCGCAGTGGTGTTCTCGGATGACAAGCCCTTTGTGTTCCTCTATGTGGACGTGGACAACGCTTGCCTAGCCACCTCGTGTTCCCTCCCCGTCCTCATCCCTTACTGCCCGGATCCCCTCATACCGTTTTGAACCCCTACGTACCGCAGTGGTGTTCTCAGATGACAAGCCCTTTGTGTTTCTCTATGTGGACGAGGACAACGCTTGCCTCATGGAGTGAGTGAACGTATCACGCATGTGTGCACGCATGGCATGAGCGCATGGGGTGGGAGTCAAGCAAGCTTGGGGCAAGTGCGTGCACGCACACATACGTGTAGTGCTTCAGGCATCGACGGCAGAATGGAAGGGTGCCAAGTTAGGAGTACGAACAAAATTGTGTGGTGGTGGTGTTGCTGCTGCCGCTGCTGCTGCTGCCATTCTTGCTCCTTCATCCAGTGCACTGCACCCAATGTCCATTTGTTCCTCTCTCTTTTCTCCATCACCGGTTACTTGCTTCCACTTCCCCACCTTTCTTTTGTGAAATCATTTGGCATCTGCTGTTGCCTCCCGTTTTCTCCCCATGATCCTCATCACCCTGCCTTTTCTCCATCTTCTGCTATCAGGAAGCAAACATTCGAGCAGATCTCACTTCCCGTGTCAATGTTTGGCGATGCAGCACCCTTACTGCAAGGCAAGCACACCCTGAGAATAATGTTTTTTTTTTCTGTCATGTATGGCACGATTTTTGTTTTCCTTAAACAACGGAAGACAACTAAAACGAGAAAGAAAGAGGAAGGGAACTGAACAGACAGACAGTGGACTAAAGCCTAGACCTTGGTATGACTTTTGAGAATACTCAAAGGACTATAGCCTAGACCTTGGTATGACTTTTGAGAATACTCAAAGGACTATAGCCTAGACCTTGGTATGACTTTTGAGAATACTCAAAGGACTATAGCCTAGACCTTGGTATGACTTTTGAGAATACTCAAAGGACTATAGCCTAGACCTTGGTATGACTTTTGAGAATACTCAAAGGACTATAGCCTAGACCTTGGTATGACTTTTGAGAATACTCAAAGGACTATAGCCTAGACCTTGGTATGACTTTTGAGAATACTCAAAGGACTATAGCCTAGGCTTTGCCTTTTGAGACGTCTCAAAAGAACAGACAGTGGACTATAGCCTAGACTTTGCCCAGCCCAGCCAGCATCGTCTTTCCTTATCAGATCCTTTTCATCAATCCATCATGCAACTTATTCCTTCTCACCCTACCTCGACAAGAAGGTACCCCTGCCCCTCCTCCCGCTCCACACCTCCCCAGCTCCGCACCCCCCGCATCTCTCCGCGCTCCCTTGCCTTGCCTCGCCTTGCCATGATGCCCTGTGGTGCCCGTCTGCCATGCATGCCCCCCCCGGTGTGTGAGGGCAGACGGCATGGAGGTGGTGGTGCATCTGTTCAATGGCAAGGCCCTCTCTGCATCGCTGCCTTTTTGACGTCTCAAAATTCCCCCTCGCTTTGCATTGCCCCGCCCTGCCCCCCATGTGCCCTCCGTCCATGCATGCCCCCCCCCGTGTGTGTGTAAGTGCAGACGGCATGGAGGTGGTGGTGCATCTGTTCAACGACAAGGCCCTCTCTGCATCGCTGCCGGCCAGAGTCTCCGATGTCGTGGACGAGGCAGAGCCCTTTTTTAAGGGCCAGACCGCCGCCCCCTCGTATGATTCGTCTTCCCTTCTCGCTCCTCCATCCCTGCATGTCTCCCTGCCTGCAGAGCTCCTCACCCTCTGTTGCACCTCTCTCCCCTAAATTTCTCTAACCAAAATATTATCCCAAGTTTGTCCTTCTCTGCTATGAAACTACTTTCTCTAACCAAAAATCGTATTATCCCAAGTTTGTCCTTCTCTGCTATGAAACTTGGTTCAGCTCTCACTTTCTCCCTCTCTCTCTCTTACGGGGTGCGGCAGGTACAAGAAGGTCAAGTTGAGATCGGGGATCACAGTTCAGGTGAGCAGCAACGACAATCCCAATACGACAATCGTTGTCAAGACGCCACCTTACTTTACCTTCCAGCTGTTGACCATCGTTCACCATCTTGACCTCCTGTGTTCATCGCTGCCCGTCAGAATTCTTCTCCTCACACTGATGCGGCAGGGCGGTAGAACCTTGACGTGAACCACGCACTGCTATCATATGCACTCGCCCACTGTCTCATACCATGCCAATCCTCCTCCCCGCTCTTCTGCTGCTTCTCTTTCCACCGACTAATCCTTCCCATCCATTTGTGCCTGCCTGCTCTGTGCATGCGAGCAGGTGCCATCATTTGTGGTGGCAGGAGACGAGATCATAGTGCAGACGTCAGACCTCACTTATGTCACCAGGTAAGCACACACGGGCAGGGGGGCTTCACTTGTTCTTTTAGGCGCCTCAAAAAGTCGTTTGTGGTGGCAAAAGACGAGATCATAGTGCAGAAGTCCGACCTCACTATATCACCCGGTGGTGAGTACACGACACAACACATTGGGACTTAACTACCACACTACCACATCACAATAGCCCACGGGACACCAATCTCATGACACCTCACTACCGTTATCATCTCCCAAGCGACTCATGCCATCCATGCCTCTCATCTCAGCAGAGTCCTGATTCTGCCTCTCTGTGCACGCACGCACACGTTCCACCCTGCCCATCCATTCCTCAACCATTACTCATTTCCATGTGGATCTCTTGTTGGTGCTTCATCTTTTATTGCTTTATGTAACCTGGACCTTTCACTCCCCACCTTTCCTTCCACCAGGGTTAAAGGAGCTAAGGAATAGCAGCCTAACACCATACCGTAGCCTTTTAGTGCATGAATTGGGCTGCCATGTGTGTTGCTACGGTAGTAGTGAGGTGCTGTAAGTTCTTCCCCAAGTCAGTGGTTCATTATTAGAGAAGAGGGGGTGGGGGGAGGGGTGGAGGGGACGAAACCAATGCAAGCACTCCATCAATTAGGTGACATTAAACTCTTGGAGTTAAAAAATGCATCTTATCTACGGTAAAAACCCGTTTTGCAAATTCATTCGCATTGCCTCGTGACCATTGCAATTTCGTTCTGTGACGCGGATGAGCACAGCAATCTTTCCTTATCCACATTGATCCCAGTCAACACATAGCACCTTGACTAACTCACCCGCATTTTTCTCCCCGCTCTTCCGACCTCCCTGCTCCCACCCCTCTCCTCCCTCTCGCCACGGTCTCCCCGCCGATCGCGCTCACCCAATAAACAGTCGGTCGCGCAGCGTCGCACGTAATGCAGACTCTCAGCGCCGCGTGCCCCTCCGTGCGACAGGCTCACTTGAAGCCGTCATTACGAACGGCTAATTTTTCGTCGGTCAAACAGTCACCAGTGGTGCGGCTAGACGTCAAGCCACGATTGGTGGCTGTCCGTGCGCAAGCGGCTGGCGGTGAATCCAATGGAGGGAAGAAGCAGGTTGAGGTACGTTAGAGCGTGTCGCGATGCTTTACGAGGCAATGTGGTGCGATAGCAAAAGACGCCATACCGAGTATCCGAGATCAGCCCAAGTAGACTGAGGGTTACGTTTTGCGGACCCTAGAGCCCCAGCTGTTCATCAGCCTATAAACGTGGCTGGTAATCGTCGCTTGATTACTCACGAAAGGCTGACAAGAAAAGTAACTACCTAGGTCAGTCACCCATTTTCAGCGCACGTTCCGCAGAATGCGCATTCTCCTCGCATCCCACTCTCGCTGACCGCATTCAAATTCTCACGGAGATCTCCCCACTCCTGCCTCCCCTATTGTGCGGTGCGCGCAACCCCGCGTGGCGACTGAACGACGCACGTGCTGCGACTGGCGACGACGGCGGCGGTGAGCGGCAGGTGTCGTACAGCCCGCAGCGGCGCATGGAGGAGTACGCGCAGGAGGCGGACCCCACGCGCGAGAAGCGCGGACCCGGCGCGCTCACGCTCTTCTCGCCCTCCAAGGTCAGTACGCCACGTTTCAGCGTGTCAGCATGTCAGCATGTCACAACCCCCTTAACTGGCGGGGCTGCTGGGACTGGCGGGAATGGCGGGAGTGGAGGGAGGGAATGGTGGGGCTGGCGGGGCTGGCGGGGCTGGCGGAATCAGAGGGTGGGGAAACTCGGAGGGGGAACATCGTCGTCTTAAACATGCACCAAGCTATCCCCAATCCCCCGAACCCTGTTTCGAACCCCTCGACTGTCACCCCTTAGCCCTTCGCCCCTCGCCGTCTCACTCTTCCATCATCCCCACTCCTCTCTCTTCCCTGATCCCTCTCCTCCCTGTGCCCCCCCCCTCTGCGCATGCCACGGCCCACACCCACAACGACCCACCCACCCACCCACCCACCACCCCAGGTGAACGTGTTTCTGCGCATCACACGCAAGCGCCCTGACGGCTATCACGAGCTGGCCTCGCTCTTCCATGTGAGCCCCTTCTCCTTCTCCCGCACCTGCTACTGCCCTCCCCTCGTCCATGCTCCCCCTAACTGTGCAGAACAGAACAGGCTCCAAACTTTCTCTCCTTGTCCTGCACAATGCACACACACTCCCACTCACTCACTCACTCACTCACTCAACCACTAGTTGGTTCCTGAGAATCCTCAATAATCAACCAGTCTCAATCGCTCATTCGCATCCGTGAGTGCAACGGCCACCACCCACCAGGCAATCACACTAGGCAAAACTCTCGCATTCTCCTTCCCTTACCACTTGTTCCCTTCCCTAACCACTTATTCCCTTCCCTAACCACTTGTTCCCTTCCCTAACCACTTGTTCCCTTCCCTAACCACTTGTTCCCTTCCCTAACCACTTGTTCCCTTCCCTAACCACTTGTTCCCTTCCCTTACCACTTGTTCCCTTCCCTTACCACTTGTTCCCTTCCCTTACCACTTGTTCCCTTCCCCTACCACTTGTTCCCTTCCCCTACCACTTGTTTCTCTACCGCTTCTTCTCTAACCAGCCCCATACCTTTCCCCCCTCCCTCCCCTCGCGCCTATGACACCACGGCACGCCCCACCAGGCGATCAGTCTGGGGGACACGCTCAAGTTCTCCTTCCCAATTCTGGATCCTCTTCCTTACCAACCCCATTCTGTCCGCAACTCCACCCCCTGCCTGCTTCCTCCCGTGGCCACGCCCCCCAGGCGATCAGTCTGGGGGACACGCTCAAGTTCTCCTTCTCGCCCTCCAACACTCGTGACGCCCTCACCACCAACGCACCAGGCGTGCCACTCGACTCCTCCAACCTTGTACGCCCCTCTGCCCGCCCACCCCATGCCATGCTTGCCCTTGCCTGCCCTGCGTATCTGGTTACCCATTTGACTGTGCATACCAGCACAAGCACACTCGCTCGCATGCCCTGCCCTGCCCGTGCATGTGCACTTCGTTTCCTTGCCTTTCTCCCTTGGGTCGAGGCAGCAACCTGTCTCTCAGTGCAACCATTCCATCTCTACCTCCCTGCCCTCATCCTGCCCTCATCCTGCCCTCATCCTGCCCTCATCCTGCCCTCATCCTGCCCTCCCGTCCGTCCCTCCACCGTGGCAGGTCATCAAGGCGTTGGACCTCTTCCGTCGCAAAACAGGAATCCAAAAGTACTTCTGGGTAAGCCGCTTCACTCCAATCCCTCGCTCTCCTGTGACCTCCCGTTCGCGCACCTCTATTCCCCCTCTTTTGCAATCCTCTAATCTTCTCATGTTGCCCTTTCCCTCTCCCTCCTTCCATCCCCTCATCAGCCCCCCTTGCAACTCCTTCTCCATAACCCCACTTGGCGTTCTTTCCCACTGTCTGTCCCCCTTCATCCTCCTCGTTTCCATCCATAACCCCACTTGGCCACATAGCCCCCCTATCTCATGTAAATCCCCTTCCGCACATGATCTGCCTTCCCCGGACAGCCCTGCCTCGCCCACATGGATGCATCACCATCGCCTCTCACCACGATGGATGACATGCCATGACATCTCCCTCACATGCATCTGGACAAAAAGCGCCCACCGGAGACCTTTTTAGAGATGTCGAAAGTCGAAAGCAACCCCACACGCCTCGCCTTTGACACCCTCCCCCGCTCCCCCCCAGGTGCATCTGGACAAAAAGCGCCCACCGGAGACCTTTTTAGAGATGTCGAAAGTCGAAAGCAACCCCACACGCCTCGCCTTTGACACCCTCCCCCGCTCCCCACCAGGTGCATCTGGACAAGAAGGTGCCCACCCACCGAAGGCCTTTCGAGAGGCCTTCCCAAAAGTCAAAAGCAACCCCGCGCGTCTCACCGTTGACATCCTCACCTCCCCCGCTCCCCCCCAGGTGCATCTGGACAAGAAGGTGCCCACCGGAGCAGGGCTGGGCGGCGGCAGCGGAAACGCAGCGACGGCGCTGTGGGCGGCGAACAGGATGTGCGGCAACGTGGCGAGCGAGGCTGATCTGCTGGAGTGGTCGGCGGACATCGGGTCCGACATCTCCTTCTTCTTCTCCCAGGGCGCCGCTTACTGCACCGGCCGCGGGGAGGTGCGTGGGTTGGGGGAATGGGGGTTCAAAGCAGGCGGAGGAGAATAGGGGAGCTGAGGAGAGGGGATGCAAGGGTTGGGCGATAAAGAGGACGGACAGGGCAAGTACGGAAGAAGAGATGGGGTGTGGGTGATAACAGCTGGTGTGTGAGATAGGAAAGCCTTTCCACAAGCACCCGATGGATCGGAGCTGCTGGAGTGGTCGGCGGACATCGGGTCCGACATCTCCTCCTTCTTCTCCCAGGGCGCCGCTTACTGCACTGGCCGCGGGGAGGTGCGTGCGTGCGTGCGTGGGGGAACGAGAGGGGCGTGTCTCTCGTCCCGTCTCTTCCCCTACCTCACGGCACCCTCTGTCCACACCCTTGGACTTTTGTGTTCCCTTTGTGAATCTCATTCCCCTGCACGTATGACTGTGGATGCTCGTGCCTCTCCCTCTCCCTCTCACTCTTCCTCTCCCTCTCCCCCTCCCTCGCCCTCTCCCTCTCCCCCTCCCTCGCCCTCTCCCCCTCCCTCTCCCTCCCCCTCTTCCCCCTCCTCGCCCTCCGCCTCGCCCCATGTGTGTCAGATAGTGGAGGACGTGACGCCCATTCTGCCTCTCGACCTGCCCCTGGTGCTCATGAAGCCGCCTGAAGCCTGCTCCACTGCTGACGTCTACAGGGTGCGTGCGTGCGTGCGTGTGTCTGAGTCCCTGCGTGTTGGCTGCTTGTGAGCATCATGCCATGCATGCTGTGCAGTGGGGCATGACACAGCATTGCATAAAGTGGTGTGGTTGTGCAACAGCATGGATGATAACAATGCATGGTATGGTTTGCTATGCCATGCTATGGTAGGTGATTAGGAAATGTAGTCCCAGGACTCCCTTGGCCCGACTTCCTGCGATTACATTTCCTGCCCACTTTTACCCACCACCGTTTCCTGCGATTCGAGTATCCCTCTGGAGCGTCTGTACCATCTCCACCTCCATCAACCTCGTTCCTCTTTACCACCGTCCATCTAGAAAAGAAATTGCCTCTTTCTGTGCGCGGCCATGCCATGCGCGTGCCACCGTACAGAAGTTTCGTCTGGACCGGGCGAGCAAGGAGGACCCGGGAGTGCTGCTGGAGCGAGTGCGGCAGGAGGGCATCACCCAGGCCACATGTATCAACGACCTCGGTGCGTGCTCTGCTCTGCTATCTCCTCGCATGCGTCACATCACCGTGTATCACCCTGCAACCATGCATCCATGCAATCGTGCATGCATGCCAGCGTGCCAGCAGCAAGCAACAATGCTTCTTGATCCGTGCCTTCCACTCCCATCTTTCTTCATCTCTCCTTCTCCGTCCCTCCTCCCTCCATCCCGTCTCAACCCTCCCTCCCTCCCCCCTCTCCCCTCCCTCCATCCCCCCTCCCCTCTCCCTCGCTCCCCCATCCATCCTTCCTCCACCCTGCACCTGCGCAGAGCCACCGGCGTTTGAGGTGCTGCCGTCGCTCAAGTCGTTCAAGACGAGAGTGGCAGCTGCTGGTCGAGGCCGCTACTCCGCGGTCTTCATGTCCGGCAGGTGGGAATGCACTGCACTCACGCCACATTCCCCACCTGACTAATAGAGTGCACTGCACTCGCTGCTTCTGCCATGCCATACTGCACTGACCCATCCGTGATGTTCCATGCGGTACTACCATACACTCTCCTTTAGGGCCCAAATGCAGGCCATGCCATGCCATGCCAGGGGATGGATGTCTTTTGTCCGTGCCATCCACACTTCCCGCCTCCCCTCTCGCCGTACCTCCCTCTCACTAAGTGTGCCTCCCCTCTCGCCGTACCTCCCTCTCACTAAGTGTGCCTCCCCTCTCCTCACGCACCCTATTCCCTGAAATCTCCTGTCACCCCTACCCACACCCATGCACGTGTGTGTGGGAGCAGTGGGAGCACGATAGTGGGAGTGGGGCACCCAGACCCGCCCGAGTTCATCTATGACGATGATGCCTACGCCAATGTCTTCGTTTCAGGTGCTCCCTGCCCCAGGTGCTCTTTGTCTCAGGTGCTCTTTGTCTCAGGTGCTCTTTGTCTCAGGTGCTGTTCGACTCAAGTGCTCTTCATCTCAGGGGCTCTTCGTCTCAGGTGTTCTTTGTCGCAGGTGTGCTATTGTCGCAGGTGTGCTATTGTCGCAGGTGTTGGCTGCAATCAATTGTTGTCACGCCCTTTCTCATTCCTCCAACCATGATTGCATATACCCTCTTCATGTATGAGTATCCCTCATACTGACCAAGCTCCTCCATTCACCCTCATCTCTTCTCCCCTTCTCCCATCCCTTTCTCCTCCCACCACTCCTCTCCCAACACCTTACCCCTCTCTCTCCAACCAGAGGCACGTTTTATCCTGAGGCAACCTGGCGACTGGTACCACCCATACCCTGCAGGGGAGGGCAGTGCAGGAGCCACCTTGGATCGGCCCGATGCAGCAGCAGCCATGGGGTCATACGAGCCTGGCAAGCCCGCCTCCGGTGTTGCCAACCTGAACGAGCTCAAGCTCCCCTTTTCCTACGAAGCTTGAATCTTGACATTTGTGCTGCTCAATCGTCCAACACAATTTCAAGATACGATACCTAAAAATTGTCTCTAGTGTTGCCTGCTTTGACAAGCCCCAGCTCCCGATTGTCTGCGAAGCTTTAGGCATTATGAACATGGTGCACCAACACATTTGCTTAGGCACCTTAGCATTGCCTTCAAACTAGTCTACTATCTCATGCTAGAATCCCTTGGTTACTCATGACGATTGAGGGCTCATGGCCATAGGCATAGTGATGCGAGAATGGCACTGTACTGTGGCTGGATGGTTGCGAGGGTTGACTAACAATGTTGAAGCAAACTGGGAAGGAGAGTAGATTCAAAGCAGCCACCAGGGAAATCTAACAGACAAACCTCAAACATACCAGGTGTTTTTTCATGTAATTTCAAGAACATTCTCGTCTCTTCGTCAGTACCTGTCAATTTCAAAAGGTAGTCAAGATTTTTTAATCAAAGAAACTCCAAGAATCTAACGGGTGCATTGTATAGTAGTAGCTAACGATTACTCCTTGGCCCCCCTAGGTTAGACCAACCTTCAGGCACTGGGGTGAACACACCACAGGTGAGAGCATCAGGAGAAGCAAGAACTAACACCTGCAGAAGATTTTCATAAGCATACGACTCTGAGGGCGCCTGTGCCTCAAATTCTCACCAACCGCACAATACCATCCACATACCCTCTCACCGTAACAGCTTATGCGGTGACCGTTGCCGGAGCCGGAGCAGCAGGTGCGGAATCAGCAGGAGCATCAGAAACAGCAGCAGCAGCTGCAGCGGCGGCAGCAGCAGCGGCAGCAGCAGCAGCAGTTGCGTTCACGGCCGCAACCTGGCTGGGATGGATGCGGCTCAAATCTACCTTTTCCACCTTCATCTCCTCAACAGGCACGTAGGACGACTTAGTGCGCGCCGGCGCGGCGTCGGTAGACGTTTCCTCCTCCCACCATGGGCCCTGGTTCTTCGCCGGGTCGAGCGTACGCAGCGCCTTCCAAACCGCGCTCTGGCACTTAAACCCGGAACCGAACCCGACCTGCCACACGCGGTCGCCGCGCCGGATGCGCCCCTGCGCCTCGAGGTACGACAGCTCGTACCAGAGCGTCGACGATGACGTGTTTCCGAAGCGGTACAGCGCCATGCGCGACGCCTCCACCAAGTACGGCGTGAGCCCGAGGCCCTTCTCGAGTTCGTCCAGCACGGCGCGGCCGCCCGCGTGGATGCAGAAGTGCTCGAACGCGAGCTTGAGATCCGGCAGGTACGGCTTGATCTTCATCCGCAGCACCTTGCGCGCGATTAGGTTCCCGAGGAACAGCAGCTGCTCCGACAGCGGCAGCACGCGCGGTCCGAGCGTCGTGATGTTGGTCTTGAGCCCGGTGCTGGCGGTGTTCATCAGATCGCGCGACAGCGACACGCCCACGATCCCCCCGTCGTCCTCCTCCTGGTACACGCACCGGTACGCCGCGTCGTCCGCTCCCAGGTGCGTGCGCACCACGTGCTGCAGCTGGTACTTGGCGCGCCGGCGCTCCGAGGGCTTATTGGTCAGCAGCATCACGGCGCCGCCCATGCGGAAGAGGCAGTTAGCCACCATCATGGATTTGCGCTGCCCGAGATAAAGATTCTGCGTGATGTTCTCCGTCGACACGACAACTGCGTAAGTGTTCTTTTGCACCTGGAGCTGGTCGCGCGCGAGCTTGATGGCGATGAGACCCGCGCTGCATCCCATGCCGCCCAGGTTGAACGACTGAATGTCGGTACGGAACTTGAACTTGTTCACGATCATGGAGGCGAGCGACGGCGTCGGGCAGAAGAGGCTGCAATTCACCACCAGCACGCCCACGTCCTTGGGGTTCACCTTGGTCTTGGCAAAGAGGTCTTCCAGAATGTCGAAGATCACGATCTGGAATTCCTTCCGAGCCTCCGCCAGGCTCGGCGTCGGCGGAATGGTGAGGAGGCATGCCGGCAGGCAGGTTCGGTCGCCGAGCCCGGATCGGTCGAACACCTTGGTTTGGAACGCGAGCGCGGTTTCGTCGAGGAAGCCGCAGGAGCGCGCGATGGTGAGCGCGTTGCGGATGGTGACGGTGAACGAGTCGGGGGGCCGGTAGCAGTTGAAGTCGAGGAGGTACACGGGGGTGGGGCGCGTGAGGAAGTAGACAATGCCGACGATGAGCAGGAGGAATGCGCCAACCACCACCTCCACCAGATGCGTATCGACAAGATGCTGCGCCAGTTGGATGATATCGTCCGGCGTCACATGCCGCTTCGCCTGCACTGCCAGGAACGCGAGCAGCGGAATCAGGAGAAGCGTGCCGCCGTGCGTCACGCAGTAGTGGTAACCGAGCTTCAGGTGCCCGAGCCTCGATGTGACTGGCTGCTTGCTATCGCTCTCGGACGCAGGAGCGGAGTTTATGGCGCCCGAGGTCTTAGCCCGAGCCGGCTTACTCTCCGCCATCGCGTAATCCTAAACTAAAGCACGTGCAGTGCGGGCAGCCAAAGGCAGGAAGGCTATCTTGAACAGGTTGAAGGGGGAGAAGATACCTTCGTTGAAGAATGCGGGTGGGCAAGTGTGGACTGAACAAACCCGCCAGACTAAAGACGTCGGTGGGACCTAGAGAATGGATGGGGTGGGATGGGGTGGAGCTGGAGGGATGGGCACGTTGGGGGAGTGACTGACAAATCAAGCAGCGGGAAATGAGGTGGGGTGCGTCGGCTCTCCGATGACCAGGGAGCAGGGCAACTGACGGACCAGATTTAACTGACACGAGATTCCTAGAGCCAGGCGGCGACTCTGCGACCTCGACAGCCGCAGACGATGAATTCGACTCGAAGCTTGTGACGGAACGACGGATCACGAGGCTGTCTGCAATGCTCAGTGCTCTGGTTGAAACCGGAGAGCGGCAGAGCCTAGAGGTGAGGTTCAGGTTTGGCGCGAAGACACATGTCGCTTCGCGACTGCCTGCCAAATCCAGATCCGTAGTTTGGTCCAGGCTAGGTTGGCCGTGAGGTTTCCTTGCCAAACAATTCATAGGAAAACAGCTTGACTGAGGGTGCAGGCGAGGGATGGTGACACCAAACGCCTGACTGAGATCCGTTTGCTCCAGGCGACCTTGATGTTTGCTATGCGACCCGCAATCTGTGCTGTGGTGAACTCGACGCGAAAAAGTGCTAGGTTGGGAATGAACGTGTCGCGCTCAGAGACACAAGGCGGTACGCATCCACCATCAGAAGGGTTTCTGGTTGGTTCTCTTGCGGCTCGTTGACAAATCAATGCGAAGCATGTTCACAAAAGCCCGGGAGAGCCATGGATGCCAAGCATGCTGTCAGAACGAGCCTGAACACCAGATCTTGTCATACTTCGGATCGAGTCCTTCGTTATGGGAGATCCCGCATTCCAGTGGTTTGAACGGCAATACGAGTGAAGCAAATAATTTAATGAACGCTGCCATAATGCCCGTGCAGTTCATACCCAACTGTCTTGAACCCATAACGAAAATATCAACTTAATCACTTCATAACAATGTCAACCATGCCCGATCCTCGTTGAGTACCGGTATGTTTTGCGTGTAATCTATTTGGCTCAGTTTGGGAGCCTTAATCTATCATCTAAATCGCTTGTACAGTGCATGCAATCCGAGTCTCGGACAATGGAACTAACATATGACATCAAAACTGGCTACTATTTCCGTGAGGCACCGGAAGCAGGCGGACGGATCTTATTTGACAGTCCTTCGCTGCGGTTTCGCACCACCCGGACCTTCCCTGTCGGTGTGCTTGTGGTCGTGGGCTGATCTGCTCCGTTGTCAGCCGGTGACGATACAGACCTGAAAACCAGAAGCAAAATACACCAGTTTCAAAACGCTGTCAAAAATCCCTTTTAACTTGTTAGCGGCCAGGAACCAAGGGGGGGTGGGTTGGAGGGAAGGTGGGAGTTGTTGGAGGGATGCAACGTGTCATAATGGCAGGCCAACACTTACTGTTGAACAAGACGGCCTCTGGGCTTGGTGGCTCCAGTCACACTGCTTGCTCCGGACTCCTTGTGCTCTGCTGCACTGCCAGCAGATGCCTTGGCAGAAGCAGATGATGCATCACTGGATGACACCACCCTCCGAATCACCACCTTTCGGCCTGGACCATGGGAGTCTGATGGATCCCTCACAACCTGCACAGCCAGGGAAGCAGCACCGGGTGGTATGCATTTTAGCAGTGACTACAAAACTTGTCAAGTGACTGCCGTGCTTATGAGAGAGGGTTACATGAAAAGGAGCGAGGGGGAGAAGAGAGATAAATCGTTTGGCGCCCTTCTGTTATCCCTCACCTTTCGCCGGGTGGCAACAACCCCAGCACTACTGGTGCTGCCGTTGCTTGAAGCTGTGCTGGAGCTCCTGCTCATGCTGACCCCACCTCCACCTCCACCTCCACCTCTCGCCGCAGCCACAGTTGCCGCAGCACCTGCTGCTGAGGCTTTACATTCGGGCTTGGCGCTTCCACTCCTTACCGTCTCCTCATCAACAGCAGCTTGAGGTTGCGGCTGCCCACTGGCGGTTGCTGCTCCCCCTTCGCCTGCTGGATCAACAGCATCACCACTGTTGCTATTGCTGCTGCTCACAGCAGCGGCAACGGCTCTCTGCCTCTCCTTATGCAGCTCTCCTTCCAGCTCTGCAATCCGCTTGCGCATCTCAGCGGCCTTGGCATCAACAGCCACCCCGTCCACCATCACCTTGCCCGGTGCCACAACCACCCCCACCTCACCACCACCACCACCATCACCCGCGGTTGCTGTGCTCTCACTAACACCCGCGTGTGCTGCTGTGACTGCCCCCGACTCACCACCATCACATGCTTTTCCTTCTTCCGTGGTAACCTCGGCATCTGACTGCCCCATCACTGGTTCACCCACCGCTTGCTCCTCTTGCCTCCCCTGCTCGGTCCCTGCTTTCTCTTCACCTTTGTGATCCAATACAGCAGCAGCAACCCCGTCCTCCTGTACTTGCTGCACTTGATGCTGCTGCTCCTGCGGTGTCTCCTGCTGTTGCCCTTGCAGCTGCTGCTCAACCGAGTCCGCACCCAATCTACTGCCGTCAGCTGCTCCTGCATCTGACAGTCCTTGCGTTCCCACTTCTCCCCCCTCCTCCCCTCCTTGCTGTTTCTTTCCATCAGCATCACCACCACTCACCATACTACTACCTTCTCCGCGCTCCACTCTGCTCTTCAACTCCTCTGCAGGAGCCTTCTCTCGTCTCTTCCCTCGTTCCGCCTTTCCACTCCTCTCGCCATCTTCCTCAGAAGCCTCACCATTGCTCTCTCTGCTCTCTCTGACATGCACCACCTCTTCTTCTTCCACGCTCCCACACGTCACCTTCTCACCACCACCCGTCGCTGTCAACCCAGGCTGCCTAGTCTCCTGCTCTTTCAACCCCTCCATCCCACTCTCCTTCTCATTAACAACAGCCCTACCACCATTGCTACCATTACCACCACCACCGCCACCGCTACCGCCACCCACAGCCACTTCCCTCTCCTCCGCCACATCCCTTACCGCCTGCCGTCTCGACATGAGAGCCTGCAGTTCACTCACCTGCCTCTCCAAACTCTCCTTCTCCGCTCTCAGCATCTCCATATCCCCCACTCTTGAGCTCATCACCTCCACCTCGCCCTTCAGAACCGCGTTCCTCACCCTCAGCTCCTGCACCTGCTCCATACCTTCCTCTATCCTCCCCAGCTTCGCCACCAGTGCCAGCCGCCTCTCCTCCACCCCTGCCTTCTCCGCCTTCACCTGCGCCAACTCCACCTTGAGCCCTTCGCACTCCTTCACTTTCCCTCCCAGCAGCGCCGCCTGCGCCTGCGCAGCCGACCTCTCCGCTTCCAGAGCAACCTTCGCCCGCTCCAGCCCTTCAATCACGCACTGCAGCTGCCGCATCTGCGCCTCCACCTCCGCCTTCTCCCCGCTCACCCGCCGCACCTCCTGCACCAGCGCCTGCACGCGCACCGTCTCCTGCTTCGCCACCTCCAGCTCCGCCAGTAACCCAATCTCCTTGGCCTTCCACGCATTCCTCTCCGCCTGCAGCCCTGCAATCTTCCCGCCTAGCTCCTTGGCCTCGGCCGCCCACCCGGCCTCAGCATGCTGGACCTTCACCTCCGCCTGCCTCAGCTTCTCCTGCAGCTCCAGCAGCCGCTGCAGTTGGTCCGCCTTCTGCTGCTCGTCCTGCTCCTGCTGCTGCAGCGCCGCCGGCGCCACCACCTCCAGCTGCTCCTTCAGCATCAGCAGATCTGCCTGCAGCCGCACCACCGCCGCCTCTTTCTCTGCTCTCTCGCTCTCCAGCATCTCTTCCGCTCGCACCGCCCGGGCCAGTGTCTCTTCTTTCTCCGAGAGCAGCAGCTCCAGCCGCTCAAACAGCCGGCTTTCCATCTCCTTCATCTCCTCCACCTCCCTGTCCGCCTCTTCCTTCACCTCTTCTAGTTCTGCTTCCAGCACTGCCACTTTCTCTTCTGTCTCCTGCACTTTCTGCTCTTTCTCCCTCACCAGCCCTTCCAATGCTGCTGCTCGCTCCTCCCCTTTTTCCTCCGCCTCTCTCGCTCTCTCTGCTGCCTCCCTCACTCTCTTCTCTGTCTCCTCCACTGCTTTCTCCTTCCTCCCCACCTCCTCTTGCAACCCCGCCACTCTCCGCTCCCTCTCATCACTCTCCTCCCTCAACCTCTTCACCTTCCCCTCCAACTCCCTCACTGTCTCTTCCTTCACCCTCACCATCTCCTCCATCTCCCTCACTTTCCCCTGCATCTCCCTCACTCTCCCTTCCTTCACACTCACTGTCTCCTCCATTTCTCTCACTTGCTCCTCCATCTCCTTCACTTTCCCCTCCATCTCCTTCACTTTCCCTTCCATCTCCCTCACTCTCCCCTCCATCTCCCTCACCCTACCCTCCATCTCCTCCCTCTCTCTCACCGCCTGCACCATCTCAGCCACAGCCTTAGCCCTCTCCTCCTCCATGCGCCCCATCACCACCTCCAAATGCGCCACCCGCCCCACCACAGCCTCCGTCGCAGCCCTCTCTTCCCGCGCCTCCTTCTCCGCCTCAGCACACCGCCCCTCTGCCTCCGCCACTCTCCCCTCCGCCTCCCCCACAATCACCCGTGCCCTTCCCACCTCCTCCTCCGCGCCCTTCACTCTCAGCCTCGCCTCCATAACCTCCCGTCCAAGCTCCGATATCTTCGCCTCGCGCCCCACCTTCTCCTCCTCCAGGCCTTTAAGCTCCCGCTCGGCGCGCTCTGCTCGCTGCCGCAGCACCACCACCTCGGTCGTCAGCTGCTCCACCTCCTTAGCGCGTGCCGCGGCCTCCCTCGCCGCTCTCACCTTCACGCTCGTTGCCTCCTGCAGCAGCTCCCGCAGCGATGACAGCTGCATCTCCAGCTCCTCCACTCGGAAATCCGCCGCCCGTCTCCCACCAGCGACGCCGCCGCCACCACCACCGCCGGTATGAGAACCAGCACCCCTCCCTCCTCCTCCTCCCCCACCACCTCCTCCTCCCCGTCCCCGCCCGGCCCCTCCTCCCCGGCCCCCTCGTGGCGACGGCAGCGCAGGCGTGGAAGCAGCAGCAGCAGCAGCAACATTAGCCGACGCACAAGCAGCAGCAGCAGCGACAGCCTCCAGCCTCTTCTCCTCCGCCGCAGCCGCCTCCTCTGCAGCCACTGCAGCCGCCACCGACGCCGCAGCAGCAGCAGCCTCTGCTGCCCCTCTCGCCGTCTCCACCTGCTCCACCTTCTCTTCCAACTCCCTCACTCTCTCACTCAACTTCACCACCATCTCCTCACTCCTCTCCCTCCTCCCCACAGCTTCCCTCAGCCTCTCCTCCACCTCGCTCCTCCTCTCCTCGCCTTCCTCGCACCGCCTCTGCCAGGCGTTCACCTGCCGCACACTCATCGCTAGCTGCCTCTCCACCTCTGCCTTTTCAACCGTCAGCTGCTCCAGCTCCTTGCGCACTCCAGCCAGCAGCAAATCCACCTCCTCCTGCTGCCTCTTTCCCAGCCCACCTCCCGCCCCTCCCCCCTCTCCACCTCCTCCCCGCCCCTCGCTATCACCATTACCTCCCACCGCTGCCGACACAGCAGCCCCTTCCGCAGCAGCCGCCGCTGCGGCCGCTGCAGCAGCAGCCATGGCTGCTGCGCGCCTTAGCTCCTCCGCCTCCTCCTCCAGCTCCCTCACCCGCGCATTGCGCGCCTGCAGGTCCCCACCCAGTATCCCCGCGCGCGCAGCCTCTGCAATCGCCTCCTCCGCCCTCCTCAGGCTCCCCTTCACCCTCTTCCCTTCCTCCTCCGCCGCCTCCAACTCCCCCTTCAACCTCTCCACCTCCCTCTCCAGCTCCTCAATCCTCTCCTTCGCCCCCTCCACCCCACCCTCAACACCCTCCCCTTCTCCCTCCTTCCCGCCCTCCCTCCGCTTCACCCCAGCAGCAGCAGCCTCAGCCTCAGCTGCCGCGGCCGCAGCAGCAGCAGCAGAAGCCTCAGCAGCGGCAATCGCCTCAGCAGCATCACTCCCAGCCATTTCTCCCCTAAGAGCCGCCAGCTTGGCTTCCAGCAGGCGCATTCGAGCGTCCTTAGCCTCGCCCTCTCGCTGTGCCTGCGTGAGCGTGGCTGCCAGCTCCAGGCTCTCTGCTGTCAGCTCCTGCGCCTCCCTCTCCACCTCTGCTAGCTTCGCCTGGAGCGCCCTCACCTCCCCTTCTAGTGCCGCCGCCCCTGCTGCTCCTCCTCCCGCATCTCCTCCCCCTCCTCCTCCACTCCCTCCCGTTTCACCAGCCGTTGACCCTCCTTCTCCACCACCTACTTCCTTCTCACTTTTCGCCCCACCGGCAGCCCCACAATCACTCCCTGCCGCGCCCTCCCTCCGCCCCTGCTCCATCTCCCGCATCAGCCGTTTCAGCTCCCGGTCGCGCTGCTCGCTCACCTCGAACAGCTCCTCCGCGTCCCGCCGGTACTTCCCCACGTCCCCCTCCGCCTGCTGCAGCGCGCGCAGCAAGTCCTCGTTCGCGCCCGACAGCTCCTCCACCTGCGCCTCCAGGCTCTCCGTCAGCCCCTTGTGATACGCCAGGTCGCTTAGAACGCACGCAAGCGCCTCTCGCCCGTCCACGCCCACCACACCCGCCGCAGCAGCCGCCACCGCGCCCAGTCCCCCGGGCCCCCCGACCATCCCGCCGCCCAACCCCGCCGCGCCTCTTCCGAACGCGCCTCCGCCTCCCCCTCCCGCGGGGCCGTCGAGCGGGGTCATCCCCAGGCACCCGTTCTCCCCCGCGCCCCCCGCGACGACCAGCTGGCGCAGCAGCTTCACCTCCGCGACGAGCTTGTCGCGCTCCTCGCGCAGCGCCTCCATCGCGACCTCCACCGCGCGGTCCTGCGTCATCGTCTCCGCCAGCTGCGCGCGCAGCACCTCCACCTCGCGCATCAGGTTGCGCACCGCGTGCTGGTAGTGCGTGCAGTCGCGCTGCAGCTCCTCGATGGCGGCTTCCGCAGCCGCCAGGTCCGACTCCGCGTCGCCACTGCTCGTGTACGCGCCGCCCCCGCCCCCGCCTCCCCCCGCCGCCAACCCCATCCCCATACCCATCCCCATGCCCAAACCCATGCCCATGCTACCCATGCCCATGCCAGCGCCCATACCCATGCCCCCTGCGCCCATGCCTCCCATCCCGGCGAAGTTCCCAAGGTTCCCGGACCCCGCGAGTCCGCCCAGCGCATCCCCCGCTGCGCCTGGCGGGTGCCCCGCGGGGAACGCGCCGGGACCACCAGGAAAGCCGTCAGCGAACGCGCCAAACTGCCCCATGCCAGGGTGGGGATAGGGATATCCGGGGACCTCAGACATGTAACCTTCCGCAGAGTAAGCAGCAGCAGCGTCACCAGCGGCAGCAGCAGCAGCAGCAGCAGCAGCAGCAGCAGCAGCAGCAGCAGCAGCAGCAGCGTCTGCCTTTTCGTTCCGTTCCTCCCGCTCCCCTGCCTCCTGTGCCCCCACCTGCTTCATCTCCCCTGCCACTCCGCCGCCCCCCTGCTGTTCCGCCACCTGCCATGCGCCCGGCCTCTGCCCTGCCTTCCCCGCACTCCAACCCGTCCGCCACACGCCCTCCCCCACTCCCTCCCTGCCGTTCTCTCCCCCGCTTCCTTTAACTACCCCTCCCATGCCCCCTCCAGCCGCCCCTCCAGCCTCCCCTCCGCCGAACCCACCGGGTCCCTGCGCCGCATCAGCGCCAGCGCCTGCGCCAGCGCCTGCGCCTGCGGCCTTCCCTGCGTCCGCTGCTGGCGGCAGCGGCAGTGGCGGGCCCACGTGGTACTGCCTGGGCGGGGGGGCCGCAGACGCTCCTTCCCCTAACACTGCCGACGGGGCTGCTGCCGCCGTCGCCGTCCCCGTCCCCGTCCCCGTCGCCGTCCCCGTCCCCGTCCCCGTCCCCGTCCCCGTCGCCGCATCCGTCGCTGCCGCCTTGTGCGACGGCAGCACGCAGCTAGGCGGCGGGGGGATATCTAGAGGGTAATCCGCGGAGCTATCGCTGCTGCTCGAACTCGCCGCAGACCACCCACCGCCATACTGCACCGCAACCATCCCCGCGGCAGGAGTGCCAGCAACACCTCCAGCAGCGGCAGCAGCAGCAGCAGCAACGGCAGCAACGGCAGCGGAGCCGTCACCACCGCGGCCAGCAGCAGCAGCGGAACCAGCGTCTGCAGCGCCAGCAGTGCTGCCGGCACTGCTCAGATCGTCGGAAGACGTGTCCACGTCGCCACTAGACGGCTGCAGCAGGCTCGGCAGACCAGACGCTTCCTCCTTTCCCCTGCTTGCAGCAGCACCAGCGGCAGCAGCAACACAAGGAGCATCCGCAGCAGGTGCAGGTGCAAGGGGTTGAGACTTCTCAGCTGCAGCAGCAGCAGCTGGTGGTGGTGTAGGAGGAGAGGCTCCGTTGACGGGCAGTGGAGACGGGATCAGCGGAGGGGGGACGTCAGGAGGTGCAGGTATCACCACCGCCGCCACTGCTTTCTCACTTCCTTTTGACTCCACTCCGCTGCTTCCTGCTCTCCGTTTTGATCTGCTGCTGCTCCTCCTCTTCTCTCTGCCGCTGCTGCTGCTGCTGCTGCTGCCGTTGCCCCCGCCTGTGCTGCTTGCAGCAGTCGACACACTGGACAGGCTCGCAGACCGAGGCAGAAGGGCGCTCGCTTGCTGCTGCTGCTGCACCTGCTGCTTTTTCCCAGAGGACAAATCATTGGAAACGGCAGCACCAGCAGCTGCGGCACCACCATCACCAGCAGCGCCAACAACAACAGAGCCTGCAGATGCAGTCATCGGTTCCCCCTGTCCTCCCTCCCCACCTGCGCCTGTCCCCACGCACACGCGTGCCTGTGGCTCCGTGATAGCATGCGGCTGCTCCTTCTCCTGCCCACCTTGCCCACTCCGTTCCTTCTCCTGCACCTGCACCTGCACCTGCTGCTGCTGATGGAAGGGTGGCGGCTGCTGCTGCTGCGACAGTGGGGGCACCTGCGGCTCCCTGTACTTGTCCTTGCCATCGCCGCCTGTTTTAGGCCACAGCCACCCCGCGCCGGGAATGAACCGCCCACCTCCGCCCACCTCCATGGGTCCGCTCGCCACGTCTCTGCGCCAGTCCTGCGCGCCCTGCTTCCGGAACGCCTCCTCCTGCCGCAGAATCTCCCCCGAGTACGTCAGCAGCGCCGCCGCCGCCGCAGCACCACCTCCCCCTCCTGCCCCTCCTGCCGCTCCTCCCCCTCCTGCCCCTCCAACCACTCCTGCCGCTCCAGCCGCTCCTCCGGCATGAGCGGCGGGGGACGCAAGGCCACGGGACCTTCCAGGCGACACGGCAGCACGCCGGCCTGACAACGACCCGGCGCCGCCGGCGAGGCCGTGGTGGGCGTGAGTGGCGGAGCCGGAGGAGGAGGAGCGGCGGAAGAGCATAGCGGCCATGAGCATGGACGTGGGGCCTGAGCCCCCGCCGCCCGTGGTGCACGTCACATTCGCCTGATCCTCCTCAAATTCCCCTGCCGCCGGCAGCACTGACGCTAGCCCTGCCCGCTCGCTTCCTGCTGCTGCTACCGCTGCTGCCGCCGGTGCCCTGAAGCTCTTTGATTCCCCCTGGAGAGGAGAAGGGAGGTGGGGAGGGAGAGGGAGTGGGGGTGGTGGGAGAGGATTATAGGAGGGGCTTGGGGAATATGCGTGGGGAGAGTGGGGACGAGAGACGAGAGACCAGGGAGGATGCGAATAGGATTAGGAGGTTGCCTGGCTGAGAACGTAACGGTTATTCCAGTGTCACACACTCTCCCATGGTGAGCCGATTCGGGGAACTACAGCTCCCGCGGGGATTGGGACAGGCGGTCACTCACTCTCGCGCCCGCCGCGTTGCCAAAGCGATACATGAAGCTCGACGGCGCCTTGCTGCCGCCGCTGTGATTACCATCCCCTCGCTGCTGCTGCTGCTGCTGCCCCTGCTGCTCCTGTTGCTGTTGCTTCGCGTGCTCCTTGCTCGTCTGCTCAGGCCCCGCGCGCTTATGCTCCTGGCTCCTCTCCCTGCCCCACCCCAGCAGCTCCCTCCGCTTCTCCCCGCTGTCCTCCCTGCGTTGCTCCCCGTGCGGCTGCGATTGCGGCTGCCGAGGCGACGGCGGCGGCTGCATTGACTCAACCCTCTGGAAGGGTAAAGGGGGGTGAGGAATGGACGGCGTGTGAGATCTGATGGCCTGCAAAGAGTAGCGCCTTGTGAGGAATGCAAAGCTTCCTACTAGCAACTCACGAGACCCGACTACCACGAACTGCTTCATTCAGTAATATGACCTTTTTGTTTACTCTTTTCTCTTCGTTACTAATTCCAAGAATTCCATTTGTACAGCAACTAGAGCTGTCAGCGCAAATCCCCAAGAGTCTTACCGTGCTTCTCAGCATCACCACGCCGCCACTACCATCTGCTCCTCCTCCGCCGCCAATCGCGGGCGCCACCGCCACCGCTGACACAGCGCCATCCCTTCCTACCGCGACTGCCGCAGCATCTTCCGCACCGGGCTTAATAACTTCTGTGGGGGCTTCACCGCTTGTCCCCTTCTCCGTTCCGCCTCTCCCCCCGCCGCTTCCGCCAGTAGCGTTTGCGCTAGTCGCGGCCGCAGCGGCACTGGCGGAAGAAGCAACCGGCGCGCTGCCTTCTTTCTCCCCCGAGCGCTTCTTCCTCCCCTCCCCCCCTACTCCCCCTGCTGCGGTGGCGCCAGCGGCCGCTGACGACGCTGTCGCAGGCGTCGCATGGGTGTCGGCGACGCTGTCGGCGGAGTCGTCGCCGTCTCTGGGATCCATGGGGAAGCACTGCACCGTGACCTGCGGAGATACAGCGCCCGAGGAGCAGGTGTGTGTGTGAGGGGCGGCGCGTGAGAGCAGACAAGGCAACGAACGAGAGGAGAGCACACAGATTAGCTCGCGAGGGAGATTCGCGGTTCTGCTAGCCCTGGATTCGTTCTAACTGGATCTGATTGGCTTTGGATACGGTCGCCGTGGGTTCCGACGTGTAACGAAGATGGGGCGGTAGCGACAAGAGAGCAAGGAGGAGAAAGTGCAAGCTTCTTAAATCCAGCTGGGTGGGGCATGGGGGAGGGGGAGAAGGGGAGGGAGAGAGGGGGAGGTGTTGATGCAGCGCAGCACTGGCGAGATGTGAAGGAGGGTAGCTCCATAGTTGAGAGTTGCTCCCTTACATGAAGCACGGAGCCGGAGGGGCACGATCGCAGCGGCAGCGCGCGCTGGTCGAGCTGCGAGTACCCGATGAACTCCGTCAGGTTCAGCGACGCCTCTCCCAGCACCGCGCCCGCCGCCTGCGCCCGCGCACCGCCCCCGGAGACAAGCGCGGTCAGCATGGGCGGACAGGGGGGAGGAACGGGGTGGGATGGGGGGAAAGCGAAGAGGGGAAGGGATGCGGAGGTAGGGAAAGGGGGAGGCGGAGGAGAAGGGGAGAGGAAGGGTGAAATGGGCCGGAAGGGACACAGAGCATAGCGCGCGGGGGCAAAGGCGGAGAGGCTTTATCCGGAGAAACGGTTGCAATGGCGCGTGCACACGACCATACTACATACTTTCCATATGCATCCCTTCCCTCCGCCATCCCCTCCCCTCCTTCCCCCCCTCTCTCCGCGGTGCAGGGCTCGGACTTACCGAGGACACCGCGAACCGGTACGCCTTGGCCTCGAACGTCCTCGTTTTGGGATTGCGCGTGAACTTGACGACTTCCGTCACCGTTTCCGTCCATCGACAGATTCCGTTACGCACAGTAGCAGAGTCCGTGCGCACGTCGGAGCGGTTGGTGTCGGTGGGAACGAGCGACACAACCAGCTGCTCGAACCCCGTGAGAGGCACCTGCCGGAGGGATACCAGGTGGGACAGGTGGAGGAGATGGAGCGGGTAATGGGATAAAGGTTAATCTTATTTAGACACTGAAGGGTTCAAGGGTCCAGGAAGGGCAGGGAGTGGTGTTCAAGAGGCGCGACAGGATTGGTGGAAGGAGAGGAGGAGAACATGCAGAGCGTGTAAAGAAACCGGGCACGATGCTACGCGAGAATAGAATCCTGCGAGATCAAGGCTGCACGACGAGCGCTATGGAGGAAGCGGAGGAGAAGGTGAGGGTGGGGTGTTACGCACCCTGGTGGCATGGAAGCGGAACCGAAACTCGAACTTCTCTTTGGTTCTCTGCGTTCTTAAACCCTTAAACATGGCTGCTCTTGGTTGCTCTTGTCGGTACTCGTTCTCGTTCTTGAGCGAGAACACTATAAGCAGCCGCCGTGTAGTGACGTTAAGATCCAAAATTCACGATGCAAAGAGACGCGGACTAAGTACTCCCTGCTCGTGCGCTACGGTGGCCCTCCTTTACTCCCACTTCTATTCCTATCGACTACGATATGTGCCCCGGCTGAACTTAGCAGGCCTCGCGCTGCCGTCCTCGTGCTGTGCAACCTTGTCCACTAAGTGAGCGACAGCCTGCTTGGTATTGGGTAAAGAAACTCATTGTGCTACCAATAACCTGATTCGCTACGTCGCAAACAGAGTTAGGATTCAAAGGCAACACAAACTGGCACCATGATCTCTTGGTTCTTTTCGGCTTGGAGGTCGTGGTTGATGGAAGTAGAGTTCTGGCGAAGAATCTACACAGTACAGCTTCCCTTTGCGGCAGCAATCTTGAATTATGGCGGAGTGTTTCCCAGGCCTAACACCATCACCATCACCAGCACCAGCACCAGCAGCTTGGCTATCAGTCACTCCCTTGCTGCACCCGAATTCCTGTGCTGCTTTTCCTGCAGATGAGCGCACAATCTCAGGTCCATAGAATCGAAGCGCACAAACCGCAGATGAGCTCGAGGCGCGCGTCCACTCAAAGTCCAGGGCTTGCATCCGCGAACCAAGGGTGAAGGTTTGGAGAATTGATATCGCACCAGTCGAAGTAGAGACGCAATCTGGGCCGTTGAATAAGTGTCGGAGCCCCAACGTTTGGAGCAAATGCCTTGGGAGGGAGATCCTTCCGCGAGAAGGGCATCAGCTTTCGCACACGTTACAATTCTCGTCAACTACCTGTCAGTCAGGTCCTGCACTCATGTCAACTGGCACTGTCTGGCCTGGAACGTGAATGTGAGAGGGTCGAGCAAATTCGGGAGCACCGGAGCGCAAACTACCTTACGTGAAGTAGCGGCTCGTTCTTGAAGCAAAATTTTCACATAACTCACATCATGCTGGAATAACATACCGTATCAGATGTTAGCAGAGAATGAAAATACATCAGTTCTTCGGAGCATACATGTTCTTGCATACGGTAGTCTAAACTAGTTATCTCCAGCTTTTGTTCAAGTCATCAAAGTGGCATAATAAATATGATAATGTATCCGAACTGTTGCATTACTGGGTTAACGTGTCCGGCACAATCGACTTCGGTACTATATTCTCACACAAACTACAACGTTTTGTACGAATTTCCACACGAAAACTTTGATGGGCTGGCTGATGTTACGAATAGTAATACTTGAATATTACTGTGCACTCCTCACAGCAGCAAAGAGAAGCACGCAGTATCACGAATGAACACGAAGCGTCAGACGGTTGGAACGCATCTGAACCGTCGGAGCAGACAGCATCAGGCAGCTGCAGGCAGGATGGTTTCGGCGGGAACAGTTTCGTAACTATTCGCGCCGCACAGTTGGGGATGTATTTGAATAAAGGAATGTACCCCTTATAGTACATGGCTAGCTAGGTCGATTCATATTCCCCTGTACTCTTATTTATATCGTTGTATTTGCATGTCTTAATCATCTCAAGCATTTACATTCACTCTGCTATTGAGGTCAAGGGCCCACCAACACCACTTCTCTGCGTGCGAACCTTCCTGAGTAGATCCTAGGCCACGATCAACTACTGATCGCAGCATGGTATGAGAGCGACTCAGGAATCCTTCACACCGCCATCTCCGAAGTCTGCAACACTCGGAAAGTGGCGTCCGGCACACGATCACGTGTGAGAATGGCCGGAGGATCTGGAGGTCAGACAAATCTGACGGCTGAAGCGCAGCCCAACCCGGCTGCGACAAACGAGGAAACGACGACGATTCCCTCCGCCGTCCTCGCACAACTGCTTCAGCGACTCACGATCCTGGAGCAAGGGCTCCAGACATTGCGGAATGGCGATGCGGGAACTTCTTCCCAATCCACTCAACCGGCCCCAAACGGCCAAAACTCCGCCCCGCAAGGCTTCTCCCTAGATATGAACGGCTCAACCCCCAAGACTCCCTGTCCCAGCGATGAAGCTATTCTCTCCTCGCAATCAAGGTTTTTGAGCATATAGAAAAATAAAGACAAGTGTGTGCTTTGACGGCAGAGACTTTTACACCTGGAGCTTCGAGCTGGCGCTGCTGCTGCAAAACGCGCAGATTTATCATTATTTCGACGGGAGCTACTCGGGACCTGTTGAGGACACCGACGACGCAAGGACTCGCTATTATAACGAGTCCCTGATGGCGTACGGGATTCTTCTGCGTAAGATGTCGCCGGCGGAGCAGCTGAACATTCGTTCACACAAGTCATCGACTGCCCCAGCCCTCGACGCTTGGCGCCACCTGAACGGCGTGTATCAGCCCAAGGACTCCGTCTCCTCGAGCCGACTACTCCAGCAACTACTGGAAACTAAGATTACCGCAGGGGAGAAGATCAACAGCTACATCAACCGCTGTCGGAGCCTTCGCGATCAAATCCTGAAGTTGGGAAGCTCGATTTCCGAGGAAATCTTCGTAAACATTGTGCTTCAAGGGCTTGGCCCAAAGTGGCGGCCCTGCAAGGCGCTCCTCCGACAACAGGGGGTCATCTCGGAGGCCGCCCTTTGCACCGCCCTTCTCGTCGAACAACGGGATATGGATCAGCAGCGACCAGCGCCACGACGAGAACGCGAACGGCTCGCCTTCTACGCCGACAACAACGAAGAGCGACGACCGCGGCGCCTCTACTGCAAAATCTGCAGAAACTTCGGGCATTTGGCGGATCGATGTAAGTTCCGATCTCGCCCTTGCCAGACCAATCCGAGCAGCTGGTCCGGCCGACAAGACGCACGAGGCGACGTGCGTCCAGCCCAAGGGTATCAACCCCCACCCGCGCGCAATCTGAACTCAACCGTTCAGCATCAGCAGCAGCAACCATCAACTGCCCCTACGCGCAACGTCATGAGCAACATGGCCATGACAGGCGAGTCACGTCGTCGCCGTGCTCGCTCACCCTCACCTGAGCCAGCACCGCACCCCATCGGCGCGTTCACCAAAAACAATCCGTTCAACCCGCGCCGTGACTACAACGACGACGACGACCAGGACTGGAACCTCCCAGTCTCGCTGCTTGAAAGTCCCCCGCACATACTAGACATGCGGGTGGCGCCACCTGATTGGCTCTCGCGCGAGCAATTTCTGAAGTTCGACACTCCGCACATCGTCACACCGCGATTGGCGCGGCTCGCACGTGACGACAACCAGCGCTACAACACCTGGTACCTGGACAGCTGCTGCGGCCAGCATATGGTGGGCTCCGAGCGTTACATATCCAACGCTATCCCCACCCCTACAGTAACTTACGTCACTATGGCGAACAACACGCGCCTGCGCGCAAGCGCACAAGGCATCGTCGTGCTCAAAGCACGTGGAAGCCGCACGCACATCACGCTTAACGATGTGCTGATCGTCCAGAACCTGCGCTTCAACCTCCTGTCCGCCGCACAGCTCATGGACTGCGGCGTCGACCTCAGCACGGATCGCGAAACACGAGACATCCTGCTGCACTACGAATCAAGCACATTTCCCCGCAGGCAGATCGGACGAGCGCACTCCGAAAATGGGGTGTATGTCCTACATTTCGACATTCCCGACTGCAGCGGCGACTCGCACGAGTTGATTGATCTCGTGCCACTGCGCTTCGAGCACATCCACCGCAGGGATTGGAAGCACCCTGACGGCAGACCGTGGGTGCCGCATCATCCCCACCCACGCGAAACGGCGTTACACAACCCCGACCCAGATGGCATCTGCAGGGATTGTCACACGCCGACGACATCAACAAGCGCGATTGCCGGCCGCGGACTCGCCGCCATCGCTGAAGCAGAGCGCCACGCGCCCCCAGAGGAAGGGATGACGCAGCTCGAGCTTGAAGTTACCACCCACGGCATCTTTGGCACGCCAGAGCATCCCCTCATCGGTCCCCCCTCACAGCACCTTCAAGGCATGCTGCGCGGAACCGGCGTCGGCACCTTTGATGCCCATGGCGAGCCGCGACCCTACACCTAAGAGAGGTTTTTGGCCATCTACTCCCATCGACGCAACTCATCGAAGATACTCACCGCGGAGCAAGGAGAAGAATTGGCGCGCCGCGAAGCTGAGGAGCTTCGCCAGCTAAGCCTCGCAGAAGCACGTGGAACCTTCGCTTGCGCCACCTGGGGAGCCGAGGCTGAAGAAAGTGCCTCCAATGAAGGGGGGTGGGGAAGCGCTAGAGGATGGGGAACAAGTGACACTAGCGGCTGGGGAGACACCGGCGACACCTGGGCCAACGTGAGCGGCGGATGGGGCACCGCAACTAGCGCTGACAACAGCGGCTGGGGTACTTTCCGTGAAGAACGAAAGGGGGGAGAGGACGAAACTGAGGAAAATGAGGCAACACCTGCAGTCGTTCCTCTTGGCCGTCCCCCGCGTCACGTTCCACTCGCACCGCCTCCTCCTGACGACCCCCCGCGGCGCGATCCATCGGACACCATCATCATGTGGGAAGAACGACGCAGCGACGACGACAACGACGACGACGATTCCTCGGGAGGAGGAATGGGCGCAGCAGGCGGAAGCGGAACAGGCGGAAGCGGCAGAGGCACAACACTACCAGCGCCTCATAAACCAGAAAGCGATGACGACGACGTACAGAAAGTCATCCCGCAACGTTGCCACGACAGCACTATCTCAGGACTGCAGCTGCTCGGGCTTCACACCGCAACTTCGAAGGCGCCACGGGTCGTCGAGCCCCGAAATCCGCACGAAGCTCTTTCTGGACCACACAGCAAGGAGTGGCGTGAAGCAATGGATGCGGAAATCCGCGCACTCGAGTCGCGCGACACCTGGGTGCTCGTCGAACGTGCAGCAGTAAAGGGGAGAAGGATTCTCTCCGGCAAATGGGTCTTCCGAGTGAAGACAGGAGTCGACGGAAGGGTTGAGT